ATATTATTTAAAGTAAACGGTAAACTAGGTATTAAGTAATTTATAAGGCGAGCGAAGATTATATATATAGCTCGGGCTTATATTTATTAGGTATGCCGTAACCTTTACGTATTTAGGCCATAACTTCTTTAGGAGCTTTATTCTTATCCTTATTTTAATCGATTTAATAATAATAAATTATCTAGCTTTCTTACCCCTATTAATTAGCTTTTTAATATTTACCGGTAGTAACTCGAGATTAATACCTTCTTCCCGAGCCTAGATTTTATATCCGGTTAGGCCTTTAATCCCGATTATTACTCGTTCGTTATCGTATCGGAACTTATAAATCGAAAGGCGGAACTATCGTCGTACCTATCTTTTAAAGAATCGAATAATCTTCGTAACTAAGTAACCTTATTTACTCTTAAGGGTTTTTACTTAGAGTATTTCGTTATATTTATCTTTAATAACGAGTATTTATTTAAAGCTATCGTATCCTTCCGGAAAGTTAAATAAATCCTAGTATATACGTTAAAAAGGGCGTAACGAGCGATATAATAATAATCGGCGTAAGATTACTTTCTTACCTATCGTAAGCCTATAATACTCGTACTTAAGCGTAGGTATACCGTTAATTTCGATATTTTAGGCATGCTTTACGAGTACTTTAAGCGCCTCCGGGCTTAGGTACTTAGCTTTAAGGTATTAGAATTACTCGGAGCCTTCTTTCGGTTTTATTTAATCTCTTGATTTTCTTTATCGGGTTTCTTTTCCTTTAGTCGTCGGAATAATAACGAGCGATATTACGTTATATGGTATTATTATAAGCGTACGTAGCGGTATTATAAGAAGAACTTACGAGTAAACGGAAAACTATTTAAATTTAAAGAATATTAAGTTATAACGACGTTCGAGCTTTCTTATAATAAACCCGTTCTTAATCGACCCCCGGCGAAGAGAGTAATTAAGACTATAGTATTAGATATTAATAGTAAAAAGCTTTACTTCGGAAATAATATTAATATAGAAATCTTTAACGAGAATAACGTTTTTAAGCGTAAGGTTAATCGTAAGCTTATCCGACTTATTTTAAAGGTAGTTCTTAATAACGTATATGTTAGTACCGGTAATGGGAAAGCTCGTAGTATTAGTTTCGATAATCTATCCGTTTTTAGCGGAAGCGAAGGAGTCTTTAATTAGTAAATCCCGGTTATTAATAAGGTAAATAGCTCCGTAGTTATTAAAGATAGTACTCTCGGAAAGAAGGTATCGTATTAGATCTATAGTAGAAAATACCCTTACGTTAAAGGTTATGTAGATAATGCGTAGGTCGATTACCGTTACGTTAATATTATCGGATTATTTATTATTTTTATTACGTTTATTCCGAGGTAGGTTAGTTCCGGAGGAGTTACCTTAATTAGGAGCGATAACTTTTTATCCGTCGCTTTTAATAAGGACTCGGAATAAGGCAAAGTCGTTTAAGTTATACCGTTATTTAATAGTTAGTTTTACGTCGTCGGATATATATAAGATTTATCGTAGCGTTTTACCGGTAATAACGAATTAAAGGTTAGCGTATATCTCCGGAGCCTAACGATATTATTTATTATATAAGTACTTATTAACTTTAGCGTTATCGGTCGAGTTATTAAAGCTATTAGAGCTATTAACGTTAATCGTTCCGGCTTTATATCTTAAAGTAACTCTTTAATACGTAATTAAGATATAAAGGCCCGATTTACCTATCTTCTTATCCTCGGAAATAAAAGCTCCGAATATTTTACCTAGCTTTATAAGGAAAAGTAGCTATCGTTTAAGCCGGTTCGCCGTAGTTAGTTTAATAGTTACGCGAGTAGCTTAATCTAAAGCGATTTTAGCTTTAATAGCTTCGAGGAAGTCCTTCGTTCCGAGTACGCCTCGGATTTCGTTAATATCGTAAGCGAGAGCTCGGTAGTAAGCGTTATTTTAAGTAGTAAAGAATTACTTTCCGTAAAGAGTACCCGCCTTTGCTTTTTATAGGACCTCGCGGTACTTTTAACGAACGAACGTTTACGTAATAATAAAGGTAGAAGCGAGGTAGTCGCGAAGTAGTCTTACGGTATTTTAAACGTTCGGCTTAAGTCCTTAAGCTTTAAGTTATATACCGACGAACTCGAGATAATTAATAAAAACCGAGGATATGATCTAATAGTAAAAAGCTCGGTAGCTTTTACCGGCGATAATAGTTTAAGACTTCTAAGAGCGACTTTACTCGAGTAATTATTTATATTCTTCGATAAAGAAATAACGCGGGTTTTCGGTTAGAGCTTTCGGCTCCTTCCTACGAGTCTTAGGATCTTTCTCGACCTATTCGTAAAGAGCTTAAAGGTATTACTTCCTCGCTCGTTCCTTTTCCTAAGTAATAAATTCTTCGAGCGATAGAAGTATCGCCGAATTTAACTTATAATCGTTTACATTAGGATTAATATCCTTTTAAATATCGAATTATTCGGCGTAGTTTTAGAAAGTAATAAACTATCGTAAATATTCGTCGAAGTTACGTAGGTTAATATTAATAGGTAGCTTCTTAATGAAGAAGTCTCCGCTAATGCCCGTTATTATTATAAATATATTACTCGAGAGAAAAACGAAAGCGATATTTAAGAGAAAAACGATTAATCGAAAGATCGGAAAGATAGAAATAAATAATAAGATTACTCGGAAGCTTATATAATAAGACCTTAGTTAACTTAGTTCCTTAGAAGGGCTACCGGGCTTATAACTAATACGTAGATTAGGAGAGCTACGTAGGTACTAAGGTTATTTCTTAGGAGTAACGGAAGGTAGGAAGAAGAAGGTAAATTAACTAACTATCTAAGAAGGAAGGAGATTAATAAAGGAGATACGAGCTACCTATATATAAACGATAAGGAGCTACGAGCTATGTTATATAAGCGAGCTAAGAGCTATATTAGGTAAGCGAGTAACTCGAGAAGGAGTAGGGAGCCATATATAAGTGGCTCTCTATGTAACATCTTAGTTATAAGCGCTTAAGTTACTTCGTCGTACCGCTATAGCCGAATAAGTAACTTTTACGTTTTACCCCTTTTCTCCCCTTACCTCTTATGCCTTCGGGCTAGCGACTACTATATCTCTACGACTAAAGGGTATAGCTAAGATACGATAACTACATTAGATTCCTTGCCTCTCGATTAGTATAGCGATATTAGTTTTATCTATCTTGGACCATCGTACGTACTATAGTCTTCGATAGAGTATACTTTCGAGTAAACCTATCCGGGTTACTAGTATCGCGTACGCTCTGCTCCTCCTTAATAGATAGTTTTTTACGTAATAGATATAATATTTAATAAAATTAAAAAGTAATATAAAGATTAAAATTTAGAAATAAAATAATAAATAAAATAATAAATGAATAATAATAATACTAAAGTAATAATAAGATAATAATAAATTAAATTAATATTATATATTAATTAAAGTACCTTTTATATACCTATTAAATAAAAGTAGCGTAGGTACGCTAACGGAGGTACGAAAAGGGCTACCTAACTACTAATAACTAGCCTAATGCTGATTAACTAAGATTATAGCTATAAATAGCTATAATACCGATCAACTAAGATCACAGCTATAAATAGCTATAATCGGTTAATCGACTAGCTAAAAACGGCAGCTAGGAAAGGAAAGAAGAGACTACTAGAAACGGGTAAAGGAGGATAGCTAAAAAAGCATGGCAAGAAACGAATAAATAGCTAATAGCTATAATGGCTATAATAACTATAGGTCTAAGTCTAACTAATGAAAATATAAGTACGCGACTTATATAAATAAACATCGAAAATGCTACGTAGCCTAGATCTACCGTACTACTATACTATATACCGTAAAGTATAAATAAAATACGCTAAAGCACTTTATACTTCTTTAGGTTTTTGTATCGAAAACTTAAAACCTCTCTAAAGGCTAGGAGAAAAAGGATAAGTAAGAATCGACATTTAATTTAACTACGAAAAAGAATTAGTTCATAATAAATTCTTAATTAAACGGAGAGAAATTAACCTAGATTAAATAAAAAGAAACTAACCTATATTAAATAAAGAGAAATTAACTTAGATTAAATAAAGAGAAATTAACTTATATTAAATAAAAAGAAATTAACCTAGATTAAATAAGAAGAAACTAACCTAGATTAAATAAGGAAAAACCAACTTAGATTAAATAGAGAAAAGTTAACCTAAATTAATTTATTTATTAATACGATTAAAATAGGTAGATAATAAACGTATTAGTAAGTAAATAAGGATCCTATTACGTATGTTATGATTTTATTAGATATATCTCCTTTAAATAATCTATACGAACTTTTAGCTAATAAAAATAAAATATCTTTAAAATAACTTTATAATTATAAGGTTATTTATAAGGTTATTTATAAGGTTATTTATAAGGTTATTTATAAGGGTATTTTTATAAAGAAATTACCTTTATAAATAAATTAATATAATAAAAGGTTTAACGTATTATAACTATCCTCTAGATAGGATAAATATTAACGTTTTATATAATAGATAATAGTATCGTAAATAACCTAATTCCTAATTATCCTTTAAATAAACTAAAACCCCTACGGCCCCCCGAAGGGGGGCCCTGGCATGCTCGTATTCACTGTAAAAAGAGCTGTATGTACTCATAAGTTCGTCAATTAGCGGTTCTAGCTCCTAGTTATCCTCTTAATAGATCAGGCCCGGGTTCAGCATCCTAAAGACTCACATATTAGTTGATTCCCAATATCGTGAGATCACAGGAAGCGAGCCAGCCAAAACGCACATACCTAAGGAATTGCATACCTACGTAATTCCCACTGTTTATATGCATATGCCACCGAACCTATTGTACTAATATTGGCCAATTTGGGTATGTTGCCTACCTCCTACCTAACCTACCAGACTCTGGTTCGGAATGGCCTCTTAACCCGGCGTGAGCTACACCGTGCGCGCGCGTGGGGGTGTTGACTACACTCCGACGGCCTGGCTGAACACCCTCGTAGCCAGCCGCGCAAGCAGCCGAGCGCGGTCGTCCTGCGGCAGGTCCTGGAAGACAGCATACACGCTCTTCCCCCTCGCGTCCCTCACCGCGCCAAGCCGGTTTCCCGCGACGGCGCCGGCCATCGCCCCCGGCACGTTCGCGACGATGAACCCGAGCACGCTGCCGCTGGCCGCGCCCAGTATGCTCCAAAACCTGGGCGTCGGGCGGTTGGTGCCGTCCGGCTCAGCCATCCCCTCTTCCCGCAGCATTTCCTCGAACACGTCCTCGAACTGCGCATCCTCGGCCCGCTGTCGCGATTGCTGCGCTCCCGGGGTGTTGCCTCCTTGGCCCGTGAAGAAGTTCCAGGCCCACGAGTATGTGCTCTGCGTCCCCCCGCCGCCCTGGTCGGGCGGCACGGATTCCTCCGGGTCGTCTACGCCTTCGAAAGGGTCTGTGTAGGAGGTCCCGCCGGCTTCCGAGCTGCCGCCAGCGCTGCTGCGTCCTCCGGCGCTGCTGCCACCAACGCCGAATAATCCCCGCTGCGCGTCGTACTGGCGCCGCCTCGAAGCGTCCGATAGTGTGTAGTAAGCATCGTTTACGAGCTGGAACTTGCGCGTTCGCGCAGCGCGCTCGGGGGAATCGGCGGGGACTCTGTCGGGGTGGGACCTGAGAGCCGCTCTAAGACGGAGGGGTAGGAAGCGTTAGCGAGGGTGGGTTTGTGCGTGACAAGCTTAGGGAAGGGATGGGAAGAGGAGCGACGAGAAGGGTCGGGTATGGGTACAAATACACACTTCTTATAGGCATCGCGGATATGTTGGGTGGTCGCGGTTTCGGGGATCTCTAGGATCTTATCTGTCGTTGGCGCCGTGTTGGTAGGGTTGCATTACGTAGAGAGGGGGGGGGGAGGCGATTCGCATGCACCTACAATAATTGGGAGGCGCCTTATTGCTGCCCATCGTGAGCCCCGGTATGCTCTGTAGGTGCTATGAAAGCGGTGTCTACTCCCGGATCCCGACTACCAGAAAGACTTGACAATAATGATGTTAGGTATGATGCGCAGGTAGAAAACAGCGTCTAGCAATAGAGGCTCTCGGGAGATCTGTCAATAGGGTCTTTATTTACGCGAGGTACAGAATGGAAGCCGGACGGTGATAGACATGTAGATAGGTACCTACGGATAGTTGGTTGGGTGCGGGGCCTGGACTTGTGACGTGATGGCTTTACCACAGTAGGTACCTACCTACCTATATCTCAACAACTCCGCCGTCTTCTCTCGAGAGCGCCTTTGTGGTGACCTCCGAATTTTCCCACCCTCCGGCCATGGCAGTCTTACTTTCGCGTCGTCTCCGCATCGCCCGCCACGTACGTCCAGCTCAACTCGACAGAAAGGCGTCGCCATCTCGAGTCCCCTACCTGTCGGGAGACGTAGACCTGCTATATCTCCCCAGTTGGCACGTCGCCAACGTACCCAGCTCTGCTTACCCCCCCGGTTGGACAGTTGAGTACGGCGTTAGCAACCACAGTGGCTCGAGCAACGCACGCCGCCGCTCCGCTCTGCACGGGTGACAGTCTTGGCATATCCGCAGGGGCCAGATCTACCTACGAGCTGGAGGTTTAGGAGTCCTAATGCACGCCCGATGTGTGTGTACCTGGCCCTTGTGTGCCTCTAACTGCACCCTGGCCTGCACTGGAGGGACCCCAGCCACCGTAATTGTCGGTCAACAGCCCATCCTGCCTCTCTCATTCGCAGTTCCCGAGCCTCGAGATCGCTTTCTCCCTCCCTCCCTCTTATTTTATTTATTTTATTATTATATTTTTGGTTTTGGGTCGTCCAGTCCCTCCTCGCCCAGTGCCCCGTCGTCGCCTTACCGCTAGAGTGGATAGCCCAACGCCCTACATACCTACGTATCACGTACATACGCAGGTGTTCGCAGACTGGCTGGTGCGTCCGTAGCATCGATTTCGCGAGACAGGGGGAACGGGACGAAAAACACCCCAGGAAGATTGATCCGAGCACGCACTATAAGTCGACAAGAGATTGAGGCTTCTCAATTGGCCCCGCCGTGGTTTGGCCGAAGCTGTGGGCTCTTCTTCACAGAGCTTCTCTCTCTCTCTCTCTCTCTCTCTCTCTGTCTCTGCCTATTAGGCATATACTAGAGAACCATCTGACCTACACTGGGACCGAGAGCAAGCAACGGCAACATCAAAACACGCCGGCCCAACCTCCAACTACATATACAAACTTAAAAAACTGGCTTCGCGGGTTCCTCCCTGTACCTGTCTATATATACAGACATCAATATATTCGAACCGTTCGCCAAAATGGGCCTCTTCGATTGGGATGGCGAGTCCGTCTCCTCGCGCTCGCACCGGTCATCCCGTAGCTACCCCGGCCACCATCGCAAGGGCAGCGACTCTCGAAGCTCTTTCTTCAACCTCGGCAACAACAGCGTCCGGAGCGTCTTTAGTTCGGGTGAGCCTCCCTCTCTCCTTTTCTTGCCCTCCGCGTGTTAGAGCCTAGATCCCTCTTCCTCTCCCGACGAGGGGCCAGGTGTGGTGAGGATGTATTTGCGATCGGGGGGTTGGGAGGAGGAGACCTTGGCGTGGCGCGCGAATCGCGAATCTCGTTCCCGAACCGCTCCAGTCCCGACTAACAAACGCCGCGCTTGATCTCGCAACCTCCCAGGCCGCTCGGGTTCGTATTATAAGCGGCAGCCGCGGTCCTCCTTCCTCCAGCGCATGCTCAAGAAGCTCAAGCGCCTGCTTCGCGACCTAGTCCACTACGCCAAGCGCCACCCCATCAAGGTCTTCATGCTCGTCATCATGCCCCTCGTCACCGGCGGCGCCCTGACCGCCCTCCTTGCCCGCTTCGGCATGCGCCTGCCCCCCTTCATCGAGCGCATGCTCGGCGTCGCTGCTCGCGCCGGCTCCGGCGGCAGCGCTGGCCTCGTCGGCGAGGCCGTGCGCATGGTCTCCCGAGGGGGCAGCGGCGGCGGTTCCGGCTACAGCGGCTACGGCAGCGATGCTGCGTTCGTCGAGCGCGGCCGCAGCGGCAATCTCCAGTGGGAGAGGAGGAGGGAGTACCACGGGAACAGCAGCGACGAAGCCGGCGGAGGCTTGCTCGACGGTATAAAAAACTTTTTTTCCTAAAGCTGAGCAGAGCGAGTGACGAGGAGTGCCGGAGATAGCCTCTCACGCCAGAAACCCTCTCTTTATCTAATGGCGAGGCGCTATAAGCGGCTCGATGGAGTGAAAGGATGACTCGCACCGTAACGGCTGGGCGTCGCTGCGTGAGACTGGCTGGTCGGGTTGGAGACTTTCCGCTTTTGGATGCGGACCTGGGATACGAATCTCTCTGTTCTTTATTTCGTTTTCTCCTCATTCTTTATATCGGATGTACGGTTATGACTGGGGGACGATATAGTAATGACATTATACCCCCGAGGTTGGACTACTGGTACGGTAGGAGCCTGTTTCTAGGAAGTCCCGCTTACCGAGGCCTCTGGATGGTGCGAAAAGACCGAGAAATGCAAAAGGGCACGAGGAAGGAAGTCCATGCTAGAAAAGAGAGATATAAAAAGCAAACAGATGCAGATTTAAACATGGTCTATAAAGGTCCCTATATTATTACGTGTACAACTATGCTCTAGCTTGTCGTGACGATCGATCCTGACGTTCCCGACACCCTTCACTTTCCTCTGCGCTTCTTGCCGCTACTCACAGATTTCCGCTTCCCCGACGGCTGGTCGGGCGGGGAAGGCTTCTTGCTCCTGGACCGTCGGTGCTCCGGCTCTGGCTCTGGCGAGGCCGCCTCGACCACGATAGCCTCTCGGCCACGATTCCTCGACGGGCTGTGGGTACTCTTCCTGCGATCGTCGCCCCTTCTCGGCTCGTCGTAATAGCCTTCCTCGTTCGTCTCGTCGCTGCTCTCGGGTCCCGGGCTAACCCTGACTGCGGCGCGGGTACTCCTGCGCGGGCCGGATACACTGGATCTTCCGGGCGGGGTACCCTCGGTATAGGGCGCGCGCGGACCTTCCGTTTGGTACTGAAAGGGATCCCTGTACTCTTGGGACGACGGAGACCTGTGTGAAGGCGAGGGTCTGATTGCGGTGTCGGAGACGTGGCGCTGATTAGAAGGTGCATTTACGTACTGATAATCGAAAGGTACAGTTTCTTGCGTTTCGGGGTGAGGATCACGGGAGAATGCCGCGCGCGAGCGAGAGCGTGTGCGAGCGGCGTGAGGTGGTGGGAAGCGTCCCATGGGGGGACCGGTGAGCTGTTGGCTAGGATCTGTGGCCGAGGGTAGGGCATGGCGTGTCAAAGATTCGCTGGAACCCGACGGCCCGCTGTGTTGTGAAGGAGCATCGAAATGAGATAGTGGAACGGCGTACCGATGCTCTTTTTCTTTGCGTTTGCGATCGCCGCCGTTAAGTCGCTTTGCCGCCTCGGCTTCGGCTTGAAGCCGTTTCCGTCTGCGTTCGAGAGCGGCAAGCTCCTCCTTGTTCAGCTTGACATCCTGTCTACCCTTGGCCTTGGCCCTGCGTATCCTCGAAAGGGCGGATTGCACCAGAGCGTCCTCGAGCTCCCTGTCGAGAATTTGATTTTCGTCTTCCGTGTCTTCGGAGCCGGCGCGCGAGTCGTCCTCTGTCGAGCCGTCGTCGTTATCGTCGTTATCGTCGTCAGATTGTTGATAAGCATAACCGTCGCGTGGCCGAGTGCCACCATCCAAATCTATGCCAGTGAACCGAAGCGGATCACTGGCGAATCGTCTCTTACCAGATAAAGCCAGCGAGCCAGCGCTGGCGCCAGCACCGCCACGAGTATCCGTATCGTCCCCATCCAATTCTTCGATAACCCGGCGCCCCGTATCCCAGATACCGTGCTCGTCCCCTGTTGGCGCCTCCCGTCCCTTCCGCGGACGCCTCGATGGTCTTCCCCAATGGGGCGTAAATTCGGGAGCTCGCGGCCGACCACCTAGACCGCCTCCCCAGAAAAAGCCTCATCGATAGGCTTGTCCATCAGAGCAGCGTGGCCAACGATGACGACGCCGCTCGCACCAATCAGCCACAGGACGGTGGTGAAAGGCGATGCAATGAGAAATAGAAGACCGCAGGTGACAAGCAGACCGGTATAGAGCTGCGAGGAGGTGGCGTGGAAAGTGCCGATGATGAGGTCCTGGCCGTCGAGCCGGCCGAGGAGCCACATGCCGCCGACGAGGAGGACAATGTCGAAAAGCAAGAGGGGGTTGGTGATTAGGGCGTAGATGCTGAGCAGCACAAAGACCAGGGCATAGTTGCTCGAGAAGGTGCCCAGGTTGTAGTTGACACGCGACTGGACCTCGGAAAAGTTGGCGGGCTTGGAGAGGCGCTTGAAGTCGAGGAACTCGCTGACGGGGCGCATGTTGGCGAAACGGCTGGAGAGGGGGGTGTTGCGTAACCCAGCGAGGCGGTCCTGGAGGTTGAGGCGCGACGTCAAGACGTCAATGGGGATCTGAATGCGCGCCATCATGTCGGTAGGGTGAATAGGATCGAGTCGATTGAGACGCGGGAGGAAAGATAGCTTTGCTGCTAGGTTGGAGAAGAGAGCTGGATTCTGGTAGGAGGACGGGAGCTTTTATATGATGCAATTGGGATTGGTCGGTTCCGTGGTATTCGGTGAAGCTTGGCCGGAAATCGAGGATGGGTGCGCTAGTAGATGGGTAAGTATTGGTGCCGTCGTTGTTGTTGTTGATGATGATGATGATGATATCTCGTGTCGTCGAGGCAGGTCTCGAGGTGGTTGATATAAGAGAGAGGGAGATCTGTCAAGAATATGGGTCTGGTCAGAAAATGACCTAGTAAATTTCAAGACCTGGGTATTTTTATTTTTAAAATTACGTGCCTGGCGAGACCCAGCCGGCTTTGGGCACGTCGACGAATAGGGGGGCCACAGTTGGGAGGTTACGTACCTGGTCTCTGCGTGCACCGCCTAGGTAGGTATATTTTAGGCTCGGCGACGGGGTTCGCGGGGGTGGAGGGAACTCGGACAGTATATCAGTCCGCGTCTTGCAACACAGCCCGTATGCCTCTTCTGCTGGATATCGGGAGCGAGGAGAGCGATGGCCAAGCTCTCTCTCTCTCTCCTTTTTTTATTATGGGAGTTCCTCCGCTTCGTCTTCTCTCGAGATCGGCAGGGTGATGACGATATTCCGTATCGTATCGTGGCCAACGCCCAGGGTAATACCGACAGGTGGTATTCCCCCTCGTCCCCCTGGTCGTGGAAGATTCTGCTATTCCGGAGACCGGTACTCCACTGGAGCCGGGGGTGGTGTTGAAACCGTCTCTCTCTCCAATGTCGTGTGCCTCTGTCTCCGTCTCTCTGTATCTGCCTACTCACACGAAGAGAACCTTCACCGCGTCCCCCATCGACAAGAAGGAAGAGGGTGGTGGTGCTGAGGGTTGTGGTGGGAGAGAGTGGGAGAGGAGGTGAGAGAAGGGGAGCAATACTTTTTATGTCTATTGCCTATTGTGTGTGCACCGGTCGGGTGCCTACCTACCTATTTTTTCAGGCACCTAGACATGGGACAGGGAGGTGCCTTTCACCTTTCTGACCTATCCTCACCTATGAATTCGAAAGGCACTCAAGTTATGGACGGGAGTTGTGTATATTGTGTAGGCTTATGTAGATTTATGTGGATTTGAGCCACCGTCTGGCCGGTGGGCAATTGTAGTGAAATCTGGCAGCCGCTCACTGGCCCGAGGGGGAACTGGCGGTGGATGCGGGAAAAAGTGGAACGAAGCTGTGACGTGTGTCTGCATCTCCATCTGTACCTAGGTACTCCGTAGACACCTGATACTCAACACAGATACCTTCGGTATACACTATAAGTCCCTAGAGGCGCCATGTACTGCAGTAGGTAATCTGTACCTCCCGCGGGCGACGCCTTCACATGCGCGGCATCGATGGGATGGTTAAACTTGACCCATCATCCCTCCTCCTCTACGAAACCTCTCTCTCTCTGTCTCTAACATAACTACCTACCTCCCTAGACATAACGTAGCTATGTCATCTATACGTACGCCTATTCCTCCCTAAGATCTCAATCCGGCTACCACGTGCGGCCAGCTCACGGCAGACACACAGACAGACACCCGTCACGATACGCTCGGCGCCGACGTGTCAACTCATCCATCACTCCCCCGCCAAGTCGCAACTCGGCTCACATACCTATAGTAGTGGCTCGCAGCGGGACGGAACTGGCTGTCTTTCCTCCCTCCGTCTCCCTCTCTGCGTGTTCTGATCCCGAGAGCGGAGAGACAGAACAGTCGGACGCTCGCTTACAGTTGGGCACGAGATCTGTCTCATTGGCCCTTGCCTATCAGCCGAGAATTGTCGGGTGAGGTACTAGACCTTCTCATGTCTTTCCCTCCGAACCAATCTCAGATCCGACCCCACCGGCGGCAGACGCGTTCAGATCTCATTCCTGTCACAATTTGGCGACGGGGTCATGTGGGTTTAGGCCCCTCCCCCTTCTAACACCTTGAATCGTATTAATTAAAAAGGGAAAGGAGACGTTCGGCAATCCACACGATAGCCGCAGCACGCATGAAATTAAGTAGACACCTACGTAATCGATTCCGAGCCAGGTTCAAGAATCACCATTCGTGGCCCCGGCTGATTGTTGAGGTCAGACCTCCGCTTAGCACCCCGCGTCAACTTGGCACCGCTGGCGGGTCTTGGCTTGGGGCTGGAGAGCCGTATTTCGTAAGGATGGCCCGCCGTAATTCGCAAGTCCGGTAACCTCTTTACATCTCTTTGGAGGCCCCCTTTGTAGGTATCTCTACAGAGACTCACTACGGAGAGGCGAGTGAGCCGTAAGAACAACGTACCTCCCTGTGCCATCCAGCTAAGCCCACGCGGGAGGTAGGTATACCTTGCCGTGACGTTCAGCACCAGCATCAAAGCCACACACAACCCACCTTCGTCCGCGATCCTCCACGAGATACCGTTTCACTAGGTAATGTGCATGCGTCGATCCGGGCGGGTCGGCCTCGCGTGTCTCGGCCCCGACACAGCGCGCTCCGAGATCCAACACCGGGGTTGCGACGATGTGGATGCTGATGAGGTTACCGAAAGCTGGCGCCTGGTAAGGATGCGACTCTTTCGTAGGCTAGGGAGCTTCGCATGGTTAGGGCGCCCTACTTTCCTCTCAGGCAGCTTTCATGCATGCCAGCCAAGTTCACTCATTATTGTCGATATGCGACGCGTTCATCACCTGCGCAGACGCAGAGAAGTCGGTCACTCGGTGTTATTCGCGTGACTCGCAAAGTCTAATTTCACTCTGGCGTTGTCCCAGATCTGTCCTTCGGCTAGGCGAACACGGTAGGATCGCGCGCATGTCGTGCCCTCGCTAAGAATACGAGCTTTGCCTGTTTGTTCGGCACCTACGGGTATCCCTGCATCCTGGACGGGGATGGGGAGGTATACTCATGTGAATCCGCGAAGAACAAGAAGAAGCAGGAACTCAGCCCTTGGGTACACGACAACCCTTCAAGAGACTCTAGCTAGCGAATATGAACGAATACCTATATTAACCGGCATGCTCGATATTAGGTGCGTATACGTAGTGGTCGGGGGACGTGAACATAGTTCATTCTTACGATGACATGGCGGCGTTTCAGCTCTCGACTGTAAATCGCACCGCGCCGCACCAAATCAGGATGCATCAGCTCAGCCGGATAAGTCGAGACAGGAAATCTATTCTACTAAGTAGGTATCACGCAGCAACACACTATAGACTTTTGGCATCCGTAAGCGCTTATAGAGTCCCCCCAGAACGAGGAAAACCCACATGTTAACCGAACGGGGAGAACGAAGGGAGAAGATGTTATGGTCTTTCCCCAGTAGGCACTTGTCATTACCGCTGCCACCTCCGCTTCATCTCCGTCCGCTCATCCTCGGCTGCGTCGCTCTCCTTGACTACTTTCACGAACACCGATTCCATCGTCGCCGCCGAAATGGAGTAGCAGTCGATTCCAAGCTCGTCCTTGTGCGCCTCTAGCGTGTCGATCAGGTACCGCGTGAAACTGCGTGTCGCCGTGTGCGGTGTGGCCGGCGAGATGGGGGACACGACCCCGTCATCATCGCCAGCACTGCCATCAAGCGGCCACCGGGCGCCGGATGGCGCCGCCGGAGAGGGCACCTCGCTGTCGGCTGGCACCAGGAACCGGACCTGGCCGCCGAGGCTCTCGCCCTCGAATCGCACGGCTCCGCCGAACGTGCGCCGCGCCCAGTCCTCGATGCCGCGCATCTCCTCCACCCCGGACGGCGGGGCGCTGCGTAGGATGAGGTGGACGTGATACTCGTTGCTATGCGCACGGCGCAGGGCCTGGGTGGAGCCGACGGCGAGGACGCGGCCCGCGATGATGGCGGCGCGCGTCGCGAGAGCGTCGGCTTCCTCCATCGAGTGCGTGGTCAGCAGGACGGAGCGACCGGGAGCCACGGCCGCGAGCAGCGCGCGCCACAACACCCGCTTCGACGCCGCGTCCATCGCCGAGCTTGGCTCGTCGAGCAGCAGCACCGGCGGATCGCCCAGCAGCGCGATCGCGAGCGACAGCTTGCGCTTGTTCCCGCCCGACAGCCGTGACCCGAGCTTTGCCGCATGCGCGGTGAGGCCGACGCGCGACATCACGCGCGACACTGCGTCCGCGACGTCGGGAACGCCCTTGCACCGCGCGTAGAAGACCAAGTGCTCGCGTACTGTGAGCAGGTCCAGCGCGTCGAATTGCGGGCAGACTGTCGATAGATTTCTCTGGTTAGCGTCCGGGAAAATTAGGGGACCTAAGGCCGATCATATAAACTTACCACCGAGATGCTTCTGCGCGAGCCGCCTGTGCTGGAGCACGTCGACGCCCTCGAGGTAGATGCGCCCGCTGCTCGGGATGAGGTCGCCGCGCACCATGTTGATAATCGTGGTCTTGCCCGCGCCGTTCGGGCCTAGCAGTGCGAGGATCTCGCCCTCCTGGAGGCCGAGCGAGACGTTATCGACGGCGATGTTGGATCCGAAGTTCTTTAACACGTGTAGTATACGAAGCAGGTCCGATTTGGAGGCTTCGACTCGCGTTGTCTCGGCGTCGACGTCGGGGCGGCCGGCCGGCGACACTCCCGTCATCTCAATATCGGCCGTGGAGATGGCGGGTGGGAGAGCCTTGGTGCGCCTGAGCCATGCGAAGCTGCCCCCTTCGAGCCAGAGGAGAAGCGTGAAGAGACTGATGTTTTGAAGAATTAGCAGCATGATGGGTCCTCCGTAGGCGTATATCGATCCCCCATCCGTGATCATGGTCTGACCTCGGCAGCGTATGATGTACATATTCAGGCTGATTGCCAGCGCGCGCATCAGGTTCTGGATCGGGAATGTGATACCTAGTCCGAAGGTGGTTCCGTCGTTGGCCATCTGGTTGGCGCCGTCCGTTGTTTGTAATACCTTTCCGAAATCAGTCTTTACCCGTTATGAGTGGCAGAGTTTGGAGAGATAGGGATAAACGAAAAGGGGCTTACAACTAGTGTGACGACCGAGAGGGCGTACATGATGCACATGAATAGCACCGAGAAGGCAAAGGCTGACGACTGCGAGCGGGCCACGAGCGAGACCAGGTAAGCGAAGAGGGTTGCCGCGAGGCCGTATAGGACTTGCGCAAACCAGACGTACCCGGGGCCAAACCAGGGGGCAGCTGGGGCCACCATAGCGGTCGAGGCGGCGCAGATGACCAGGACAAACATGAAGTCGAACATCCAGTACGAAAACAGCAGGGGAAACGGGCGGACGCCGTTCGAGTACTGCAGACCTCGTACTAGAGATCGCCGCTCGAAGGCTGGATATAGGGCGAAGAAGGCTGGGTACAAGGTGTGCAGTAGGCAGAAGATGGTAACGTAGGTCACAGACTCGCCACCCTCGGCCTGGTGGTACGAGCGGAGCGACGACGTGTAGCCTGCGATGGGCACGCCGCTGCGTGCCTGGTTGAGCATATTTAGGAGCTCGGGGCTGTTGATACCGTACAAGGGGGTGTAAGCGATGAGTGGGGCACTGTTATCATCGCCCATCCAGATTCCACCGCCGCTCGTGATGTTCCTCCCATGCGTCCTGACGAAGTCCTCGAGCTCGACGCGCGAGTTCTGAACAAAAGGACCGGTCTCCCACTCGTAGCGGATGATGCCGAAAAGATCGTCGATTATCTGTGCGACAGTATCGTTGAGGGACTCGGGTCCTAATGCGAGGTTCCCGGTGCTCCTAATCGACATCCTCTGTTCCCGGGAAGCGAACGAGACCAGCTTGTTGCAGTCCGGCGTCTCGTAGTCTCTCAGGAGTTCACCTAGGAAGTACGTCGCGATGAGCGGGATGGCGAGGGCGAATAAGTACGGCCACCAATTCGAGCGTAGCACTTGGATTCGCTTTACGAAGAGGGCCTGGATCTGCTGCGAGTACGTGAGCCACAGAGGCGGCTCAACCTGTGGTCCTCTCTGCCTGCTCGGCTGGGCATCGCTGATGGAGATCTCCTCGACCTTCTCGCCGATGAGGGTATGCGGTTCCTCGGAGACCTTGAGGAAAACGTCCTCGATCGTAGGGCCGGTGATGTAGACTTCTTCATTCTTCGCGTTCGGGAGAGAGCCCAGGAGCCGGGCAGCGGATGCGGAGTCCGGCGTTCTGCAGATGAACTTGTCTCGCTCTTCGGCTATCGGGTAAGGCACCGCGGAGACGTCTTCGGTCTTGGGGACGTACACGCGGTAGCCTCCACCATATTGGTTCTTGAGCTCTGCTAGTGTTCCCTGGCACTTGAGCTTTCCGAGGGTGATGATGACGACGTGGTCCGACAGGACCTCGCACTCGTCGAGGAAGTGGGTCGACAGCACCATGGTTCTCCGGGACCGCTCGCTGAGGATGACGTTCCAGATGACGCGGCGAGAAAGGGGGTCGAGGCCGGACGTGACTTCGTCCATTAGACAGATGGAGGAGCCGCCGACGAGCATGCAGGCTAGCTGTAGCTTGCGCTTCATGCCTCCGCTCAAGCTTCCTGCGAGGCTGTTTTTCTTAAGTACAAGGTCGCATTTCTCGATGAGTCGGTCGAGGGCTGCTGCATCTTCGACATTGCCCTTGAGGCAATTCCAAATCGAGAGGTGCTCGTAGACAGTCAGTTGGTCCCACATCACGTTCTGCTGGGGGCGTATTCCTGCGAAGATTGAAAAAAGGGGGGGGCGGGGGAGGGGAAGGATTAGCCGAAGTCCTCTCCAAATCGTACGCTCTCATGAATATGCTGCTTACCCATTTGTGAAGGCGACGCGTTGATACTCACTGAACCGCCAGTAGGCCTTTGGAATCCTGCCAACATGTTCAGCATCGTCGTCTTTCCGGAGCCATTCGGACCTAGGAGGCACAGGATCTGGCGCTTCTGGCTCACCAGGTTCAAGCCGTCGACCGCCTTTGTAACTTGGGTGCGGGTGCGGGCGCAGCAGCAAAATAACTTTCGGAGCGGCAACGGATGGTAGTGCTTGACTAGGTCTCGGGTCTCGATGGCAATATGAGACCCTGTAGCCTCTGGTGTGCTGTTAAAGTTCGCCGGTGGCGGTTGTTTCCGTGTAGGAACGTCTCCACGAGGATGGCCAGCAACGGGTAGACGACGATCTGGACGGCCAAGAGGATCCAGAGGGAGTACGGGCCTGTGATATAGATCCAATTCACCTGGCGGCCCTGGCCGGATACTATACTGCCCAAGGAGGAGGAAAGTGGGCTTGGCTCCCGCGTGCTGAGGGAGATGCCGGCAGCCTGCGACTTGCATATGGCGTTGAAGAAGTAGATAAGTTCATGCTTGGGAAAAATAATGCGAGGGCCACGACCTGCCCCAGCGGAGCAGGATCGTACGTGTTCTCGGTGAAGGAAGCGCAGACGGCGAGCAGGAATGGGATTAGCGAGACCCAGAGGCTGGCGAAGGTGGATTTCTTGAAGAATGAAGCGCCGAACACGCTGGCGCTCGTCGTAGCCCAGCCGGTGAAGATTTGCCAAAAAATGGTAATGGCAGCGCTCTGGTTCGGCAAAAGAAGGTGCGAGTACACTGCTCGATGCTAGGGGCTAGGGGACACCTCCAGACGATGGGGTGGCTCGACGACTTACGGGCACCCATGATGATCCAGAGAGGGAGGTAGAGGATGTCGAAGGTGAGGATATAGCTTAGAACCCTCGGCCAGGCCATTCCGCCACTCATGGCGTCGATCAAGTCCGACATGCCCGATTCGCGCTCCGACGCGATCATGCCCGCGACGTGGTGGCCGACCGAGAAGAAGGTCAAATAGTAGACATAAGATAATATGTATATCGCCATACTTATGAAGCTTATCCTCGCATCCTCCTCCGCCTGCTGCTGGTCCCGCGCCGTGTAGGCCATGACATCGGGGCTGACGGTCAAGTTGGCCATGGCATTCTCGATGGCCGCCTGCAGAGGCAGGAGAATCCTATCGGGGGGGTCATCTGTGCTGAAGACATTGAAGCCGCCAGAGCCGGAGGCGGGATCGGTACTGATGGTGTAGTTCCAGGTGGCGTTGACCCGGCCGCTCAGGGGAGAATCCCGGAAGGTGACGACGGCGTGGCACGGCGAATTCCCGTGATAGTCGACAGGGCAGGTCGCCTCTATCTGGCCGGCGTCCTCGAGGTGGACGAGCTGGCCGGGACTCAGGGGCCTGACGAGCTGGTCGAAGACGGGCCGGAAGTCGGGGCCGAGGCCGGGGGACTGGACGAAGACGAGCTTCCGGGGTGTGGCGGCGAGACTGTCGGCGAGACTGCGGATTGGGTGGGGGTCGCCGACGCCGTACCGGTTACCGTCCCTGGAGAAGTTCTGGAACTCGAGCAGGAGCACGAGGAGGGCCAGGGGGAGGACGAGAGACCAGAGCAGCGTCGAGAACCACTTCCTGACGGCGGCGATGAGCAGGTTCTTCCTCGTGAGGGCCCAGGTCTGGCGCCCGAAGGACCGGAAGTCCATGGTTAAGGGGCGAGCAGCGACGGAAAGCCGAAGTCACGCCATGCAGGTACGTTAGGTGGAATGCTAAGCGGGACGAAGGCGACAGAAGTTGAATACCGAGTGAGCAAGCGAGCGAGCGAGCGAGCATGCTTGTATATATATCAGCTTGGCGATCGCGCTGGGGTAGTTAAGGGACGAGGAAGGAGTATGCATACTGACTATGTAGGTACTATGTAGGCAGACTATACCTATCGAGCAGGCCGCGGGCCGCGATGGGTAGAGAGGCGGGTTAGGCGTAGTCGCGGGACCCGGCAAAAAATTTGGGCGGGCAAGGCGGGACGGCGGTGACCCTGGCGACATGCCTCCCGCACCAGCGCGTACGGGATTGAAACCGTTGCTCGGGGTTGCAACCGAGACAGACTCTACCACTCGATAGGCTCCTCTCCTACTAACCCACTCCCCCCCTCCCCGCGGCGACAACACGCGTTTCCTCTCACATTAGTCCCAGGAAAGGCAATACGGCAACAACACCGCCATTCGTAGAGAGATTGACCTGGGTGGGCTCCATTATTTCCTCCCCTTCTCAGCCATGTAGGTGCTTAGATAGGTAGGCGTGTAGTGATACGAAGCGACTCTGATATGGGTGCCTAAATGGTCAGTACGGCTCTGATTCCGGATGGCGAAGGTGGGTGTATGCCCGCCTCTGTACATACAATGCCTCCCTATCGGCGATAGGTTATACTACCTGTCACACAGGTACGTAGTATATGATCCCTGCATATCTGATGCACGTACGAAGGGAATTAGAGAGTATCGCGAATTCGTGGCAGATCAACTCGACCCGCTTACGCCTTGTGGACGGGCTCAGCCTCGTCTTGTCATCTCATATTCATGCGCCCCTCGTTGCATGTAACCTGTTTGGTATGCGTGCGTACATTATATGATGCCCAAAGAAGCGAGGAAAAAAGAAAATGTGGTGAGTAGCATTCGCTCTGCACATACGGTGCCGAGTACACCCAACCCCTACAGAGCCGTGCTAGGCGATCCGGTCGCCGTCCATCCACCCTCCTCTCCCCTTTACTGGCCGTCGGCATTTATAAGTTCGGTGTCGCGAATGAGGGATCCCGTCTCGTTTTGACGTGTTGGGTGATGCAGCAGGGGCTTTCTTCCCTAGAGGCTGTGCTATAAGTGTGAATGCATACTTCGACACGGAGCCTCCGTGGCGATTGGCGTCGGTCGTGTTGACCGTCTTCCACGGTGCCTGATATCCCCACGGAACGAGGGTAAGCGCCGTAGGACTGCTGCCGTGCGATCGCCCCGACTCGTAGATGGGCTTCTTCCCAGTACGGACGATTCTCGGGCCCCAAGCTGCTCCGTGCTCATCGCCTGTGTAAACGAAACCCAAGGTTAGTTAGGTACTGGCCTGTTAAATGCGTCTCGCCTGGTCGGGGGCAGCGTGGGGAAAACGGCGCCGGTCAGGAAAATCCAATGTTTAGCATCAAAGTCGAGCGACTCAAATACAATCTAGCATGATGAATTGGTGCGGTCATCATCGGAAGGTTTATGTACTCCAGTGAACCAAGAAAAGGGGTGCAGGGCCAACCTACTCTTCCTTGTGGTTCGCGATGCTGCGCCTTCGAGGCACGTCTACCCGTCTGTCTCAGGCCGTTCCCACCCTAAGGCATAGTCCCAGCCCCTGGCCGGGGCGGCCTAAACGGCTACGTTCAAGCCACGTGTTGCATATTCGTATATAGGCAGGGGAGAGGAGAGGGCCGGAAGGGGGGGGGGGGGATGATAATTATTATCCGGGACTCGGTCGAGTTTCTCTCGCCGACCCGTGGTTCCTCTCCCAATTGGGAGCGGGAGTAAGTTGTTGATAAACGTACACGTCTTGACGGTCTGGTCGAGCCCTGGCTGCTATCACGCCGGGGTCAGAAGCGGTCTTCCGGCTTCTTCCACCCTGCCAGCCGACCCACCTCCCCGATGGCGGAGAGCACGTTGTCAACCACCACCTTCACCATGCCCTGTCGCTTACTCTTCCCGTGCGCGCCGCGCGACGGTTGTTCAGTACCGATGGTAGGCAAGACGTTGTCGCTCGCGGATAGGCTGACGAAGAGGGCGAATGGGATGAGCCACACGCACAGGCCAAAGTATGAAGCAATCTCGGTGAAACTGGGGACGTCCGGCTGGTCGTACATGGAGGCCAAATTCGAGTAAGATCGCTGCTGCGCCTCGGAGAAATGTTGGAACCAAAAGTAATGATTGACCAGGACCAGCACTGCGGCGATCGTCAGCAACCGTGAGACTTGCCGGTACGGGCGAAGATGTGCCGGCGCCGAGGATCCTACCTACCGCATGATGTGACGAACAGCGGGTCTGACAGCTTGACAAAGGGGAAGCGGCGCATGTTGCCCAAGTAGACTACGTGAGAGGCGACACCCATCAGGGTCAGGCCGAGCGGGAATCCATCTACAAGACAGAGAACGACCTGGAGGCCGATGATGGCGTAGATGAGCCTGGCGAGGAGGCGTTTCGCGACGACGGTATGTTCTTCGACGAGCTCTGAGAGGTAGTAAAGGCCAGATGCTGGAGAGAAGCCGCCACAGCGTCAACAACCCCGGCCCTATAGTGGCTAGAGAAATAGAGGAATCGAGAGATGGAGAGAAGAGAGAGGTGGAGATACAGGGAGGAAGACGCGAGTAGAGCGAGAGGGAGGAACGACGACGGGCGTACCTATGGCCAAGGTCAGGAAGCAGAAGCCCACGATGGAGCCGAGATACCCGACGAGAGGTAGAATCCACATGGTTGCGGCTACGACGCTGTCATGGTCCGGAGCGGAGCGAGGGAGGAGGCCGGGGTAGGGTATAATATGGAATAGGTAGAGTAGAATAGATTTGAGCTAGTCGTCGGTTGGTGCGGCAGAGAGGATGGCCAGATGCTAGTACGGCGAGTCCCTATAGCCACGCAAATGCGCGGTTACGTATGGGTGTGGCCCGGCCCGAGGCCAACCGAGGAGGTGTCTTTGTTTTATAGGTGCGGGAAGGGAACCGTGGCCTTGTCTTTAGGTACCTACCTACCTAGGTACCTCCTAGGCACAGGTAGGCACAGGTAGGCACAGGTACCTGAACGAGATTAGGAGGTACCTCTGGGTAGCCTACCATTTTGGTACCTAACCTATAGGTACCTAGGTAAAGGGGTCGTATCGATAATCGATAACGATAACAGCAGACCACCACAAGAGGGTTGGAATATCGTCACAGCGTAGGGGAAAAGAGAAATGGAATGGGCCGAAACCAACTACAAAATCATCAGTATAATCACACAACCCAAATAGGCCCTCTATTAGCGCGTAGCCAGCGGGTTTTAGTATACGCCTGCACCTGTCATCAGTACATCCTACGACCACCACAGCCTCGCGTTTCGCGGCCTGTCCGTTCTCGCCGCCACAATCAGCCTCTGCCCTGCCCGCTCACCCGCTGCCGCCCGGCATGTCGCGGCCGGAGGACACTCTGTATGTTGCTGCCGACGCCCTCGTAACATCTGCCCCAGAGAGGGAGCGTTGTCGCGCTGACCCCCCGCTCCCCCAAGCTCCGCCGACGCCTATTACGATGACGCCGAAGCGCGCAAGTACACCACCTCGTCCCGCATACAGAGCATCCAGGCGCACATGACGCGCCGCGCCCTCGAGCTGCTCAACCTCTCGTCGCCCTCCCTCGTCCTCGACGTCGGCTGCGGGAGCGGCCTGTCGGGCGAGATCCTCTCCTCCGTGCCCCCCGACGAGGGCGGCCCCCACGTGTGGGTGGGCATGGACGTGGCCGCCTCGATGCTGGACGTCGCGCTGCAGCGGGACGTCGATGCCGACCTGCTGCTGGCCGACGCCGGCCAAGGCGTGCCGTTCCGCGCCGGCACCTTCGACGCCGCGATCAGCATCAGCGCCATCCAGTGGCTGTGCAACGCCGAGAGCAGCGACGTGTCCCCGGCCGGCCGCCTGTCGAGGTTCTTCAACGGCCTGTACGCGAGCCTGAGGCGGGGCGGCCGCGCCGTCTGCCAGTTCTACCCCAAGAACGACGAGCAGAAGCGGATGATCACCAGCGCCGCCGTCAAGGCCGGGTTCGGCGCCGGCCTGCTCGAGGACGACCCGGAGTCCAAGAACGTCAAGATCTACCTCGTCCTGACCGTCGGCGGCGCCAACGCCGACGGCCACGGCGGTGACATCATCGGCGTGGTGAGGGGCATGGATAATGTCGACGTGCTCGACTCGCGACGCGACACCCGCGCCGGCAAGGGCGAGATTAAAAAGGGGAGCAAGGCCTGGATCGCCAAGAAGAAGGAGCAGATGGAGCGGAAGGGCAAGGTGGTCAAGGCCACGTCCAAGTACACCGGCCGCAAGAGGCGCGTTGCCTTCTAGACCCGGAGTTGCTGGCATCGCTCCTACATCGCGCCGCGTTACGGGAGTTGTTTGGGCGGCTTTCGATGGTCGGTAGCCGAATAGCTCTCGCTTGTCTTCGTCGCGTAAGCTCTAGATATCCTACGCCCTTTTACAGAAAACTGCGCCACCCCTTCTCCCCGCGCGTCTGGGCAGGGAGGGGTGTGAGGAGTGGCTGAGGTCTGGTAACGCATCTCACTCTATGGTTTTTCGGCCGATGGGATTTACTACGTGGACATAGCAGGAGGGGATTTATTGTTATACCTGCCTACTATCCTTATCCCGGTCGCTTTGCTCGGGTTGCGGACGCGATGCGGCGACACAGAAGGGCAATGCGAACTACCGCCGCCGAGAAGAGCGGGAGAATGCTGAACTGGCCTCATTGCTAGGAAGCTAGAGCGAATCCGAGCTTGGCACGGGTAAAAGTTATGAGAGCCAGCCCAGATTCATTCGTATGAGCGAGTCCACATATACCTATTACTGCACCGGACGAAGCCGGACTATGGTAAGCCGGGCATTGGTTTGCAGCTGAGGGCATGACGCCGGGCTGGGGCACTACGCAAATAGGGGCCTGCGCACGAAGCCCTGGCTGGAAAGGGGGCAAGACTTTTTTTTATTCTGCAAGTCTTGAGTCTCGAGTTACATAATAAGAACGGACGCAACAGTGGGAATGAGTTCGTATCGCCAGAAACCAGCGAATTATGGCCCTTTCCTTCCTCTCGCACTTCTAGTAGCAATTGTCCTCGTCTCGGATATGCTCTTGGGGGCTTTCCACACCTGTTCGCCAGCCTGGGTGGTAAGTATTGTCGCGAGTCATCCCTACAACACGCCATGGATTCCCGCCACCTACAAAGACTATGTTTGTCCTAGACAATGGACGTCAGGACAACAACTCCAGTGCCTGGTTCTCCTGCTTGCGAGGCCCTCTCGGCAACTCCCGTAGCTTTCAGGAATACATTGGGGATGTAAGTCTAAGTATATATACCACTTGTATAGGACACGGTTTCTTTTCCAGACACAGGTAGGTGAGATGCCCTTTAAATATCTACTTGCGTTTCTGGCACTTGTTCACTTGTCCAACACTTGCCATTTCGTATCTCGAAGTCATTATCCGCCACGTTATGCCACAACTGTGGGTTAACATGTTAATTTGTTGCTCCGAGAGTACGTTAACGCCCGAGGAGTTCCTATTGTCCGTTAAGTATCAGCCAGAAAAAAATTCGCTCAGGACGGGGAAAAACAAACAATGCCTCATGCAACCACCCACCCACCCCCTATACATATTCACTTCCTTGGATTGAAGTGGGAACACTCCCTGGCCCAGACATCTGAATTGCCCAAGCAAGTGAGCTATCGCCTCTGGTTAAGCTATCTGGGCTGGTGTCCAATCCCTGCCATACGCATATTGACCTCTTCCTCCAACGCCTTCCTACCCAGTTGCCTCTCAGGGGTGACATTGAGAGAAAATCATATATTCCTCCAGACTTATTACCGAGAACGTTGCCTGCGTGAATTAATAGTACGGACTTCCTGTTCTCCTGTACTCCGAGGCATCGGCGTCATCTCGAGACAAGCCGTAGGGTCGGGCATTGCCTTGGTTTATCACCCCCCGTTTCCTTAGCTGTTAAGCATATATCGTGTCTTCCCGTACGCTCTGTCGGATCCTAGGACCTCAGTCTGGCCGCTGCAGACGCCTATTTCCTCCCGCTACACGTACAATTCGTCTCGCTGGGACATATCGATAACGCCGTCATTCCCCGACGGTTCCCCCGGCGCCCGCGCAAACACAATACGGTAGGCGTTGCCACGCAACCGAGGAATTCTGCAATAAGCACCACTTGCTCACGTCACAGTTCTGCCGCAGGTGAACGCTATGCCGGATCTCTACGTGGACGTCGTCGAGAGCCTCCTGGCTACGGTCGAGGCCACCGACATGGACAGGGAGATGCTTCGCGGCTACTTCGCGGACGTCTCCCAGCACGCCAACGGAGACAGCCTGGCCGCGAGGATCCTGTCATCCGTACGTGCGCCTGTACTACTCGCACGCAGCTCGCGTGCCGCGGTGCTCTACATGTCATACCTACTTACATGTGCCTACTAACCCTCGAAAAGATGATCCGATTCCTCGAGTCTCGCATGGACATCTCGGACCTCCACCGCCGTGTCCTAGAGAACTTGGTTACTGAGCTAAAGAATCGTGCCGATACTTCTGTCCGCAGGGCTGCTTCTGCTGCCACCGCTGCGACGGACAAGTCGGCCTCGCTAAAGTATGATGGAGGCAAGGGAGGCGCCCTCGTAGACCTCTCGGAATTTCCACCGGCCGAGCCGGACGACGACGCCGGCAGCAAGGTTCAAGGTGGCGACGCAGCTCCCTCGGCCGAGGATCTTCTCCCGGAGTGTCATCCAGACACCGGTTTGGCTAAGACCGCCGACGAAGAGACGACAATGCCACGCACCAACCCGTCCGGCGCCACACGTCGGCTCACCTCCACGCCCACGTCGTGTCAGGTTAAGCAGGAGGTTTTCGAAGATTGGTCCAGCGATGGCGGGGATCGAGTTGTCAGCGGCGGTGGAGGCTGGGAGGGGGGCTATGCTAGTCGGGTCCGCCAGGAGCGAATTGAGAAGAAGCGGTTTAGCGGTCACGATTCAGCTGGTAAAGGGGCTAGACCCGGAGAAGGCTGCGACCGAGACGTCAATGACGACGATCCTCCCGACACGGCCCCTGGGAGTCTTAAGGCCCCGACTGACCATTGGGCCGTACTCGACGAGCCGCCAGCGGTAAGCGCTCCGTGTCGCTTGGGGGCGTGTGGGGGGTTACGGGTAAATACTCATACGTGCTAACTCTGGCCGCTAGGGCAAAGAGGAAGAGGCCGGCGATTTCGAGACGTCCAACAGGGCTCGCGGCAAATCGGGGGTGTCTAGCAAGCCAATCAAATCGTCGCCGAAGCGGTCCGAGTACCATGACTACCGCCAGCATCGGGGCAGCCGCGGCGGCCGAGCCCGCCGCACCGGCCAGCATGGCCAGAGAGGCCAGGAGCGGCACGCGAGGGAGAGATCGACTTCGTCGAACGTGACAGCCGGTCTCGAGGGCCTCAACCTCGCCGAGACCCGGCAGCCCCAGCGGCCCACGCTGACGATTGAAGAGCTCGGGCAAATCCCCTGGCCGCAGAGCGTGTACGATCCCCAGCGCCTCTGGATGTAGCGCTCTGGGCTAGATTCCGTCGAGCCACCATGGCCTGTCTATTCCCGCCAGGACACGCTTACGGGGGGCTGGCATGGCTTCCCGGGTGTCTCGCCATCGTGGTATAGCGGGGAGAGATACCTATATCATTTTACGAGGCATGCTGTGCGCACAAGGGGCGCCGTTGATGAAGAAAGAATGGCAGTACTTTTTTTCTCCGTCTGGCTCTCTAGCCGGGGATGAGCTATTTGGCGATACGTAGCTATTATTGCCGGAGGGTTAGTGAAGGGGTTGCGTCCGTAATAAAATGAATAGGGATGGTATGAGCTCTGATGGTAGGAACCAACTGCCACACTCGCATGTGAACCCTCTTACTTGCCGTGTATGAGTATACCGTGATAGCGGTGGGATCTGGATCCCTGTTCCTCTGAATCCCAGCTCAAGGGGCTGACTGACGAGCAATGTACCTATTATTATCGCCATCTACCAATATATTTACTTACAAAAACGACGAGTGGGTAGGTGGGTAAATAGCCACCTATAGGTGATGGAGTATTTGTGTAGTAATGAAGAGGAGGAGAACGAGGAGAAGGGGATGGGGAAGGGGAAGGAGTAACAAGTAGAGATGGCATATTATACCATACGGGGGGATGGAGGTCTGTCGGCACCATATCAAGTAACCCTAGAAAGGATCACTACAGCTGAAAGTATTTCCATCGCGACGCTAAAGCAAATTAAACTCAGGATGCGATACAGGTACGATACGAACGCTATACTAATCTAGTAGCTCTTCCTAAGGATAGAATAGCTATCTGAGACCATGTTAAGATAGAATCTATATCCGAATTAATATAATATCGAAAAGGTAACGAATACTTCATTAAAATAACTATAACGTAATATTTATATTAAATTATGTAAGCGCGTAAGTACGTAATCAGTTACGTATAGCTATAGGATAAGCCTTGCCTTACTAGTAATTAATTAGGATAAAAGGTACGTAAAAATGGCTTGTAAAAGGCTACGTAAATAGCTTTAATTCTATTAACTATTTACCCTATTCTTAGATGGCTATAAATTGTAATAAAATCCATACTATGACTTTTGCTGTAAGTATTTTATACTTACCAAAAGACTTCGTTAGTATTATATTACATAGAGGTTAATGTCTATACCATGTTAGTATTACAGACATACTATCGATAGAACCCCTCCTCCGGCTATAGTAGTCTTTCATGTATATCCATACTTTGTCATACCTATTATTTCCCCTTCTTATTTATTTTTTTTCTTATTTAGTTCCTCCTTTCTGTATTAGGTATGTAGGTAGTTACCTACGGGATACTCATAACTGAGAGATCAAGCGGCTTGGGTACCCAACCCCTACCACTGTTCTGTTCTAGGATAACCCGAGTTAACAAGCTGTTAAGGGCCTGCTCATAATGTACATTAATTACCTGCCGAAAGCACCTGTTATGTAGCACCTCTTGAAGACACAGTCTTCGTGGAAGAGACAGCCTATTATAGAGGTATCGGGCTATCAGGTGCACTCGAAAACTTGGGCTCCTTCCGACATGGCCAGGTACCTAGTGATACCTCTTATACCGCACCCTCTCCTCTCTCTTCGCCGGGGCCCTAGCTACTGGTGAGTTGTCCTGGGGTACCCCGGAGTACCCAAAGTTATGTAGGTAAATACCTACCTTAGGTACCTACTTCCTAGAGTGCCTATCATTACTTACAAATAATGCACACACAACCCCCCCAGCAACCGCCAGAAGCAGGTGATGCCCATCAACTGTGATGCCTGTCATCGACAGGGAGATCAACGAGTCGCGTTAATAGCTAGCACGTAGAGAAAAAAAAAAGGGGGAGGAAAGGCCTCTCCTGGCCCGACAGACCCCTAGACAACTAAACATCCGGCTTCCTTGCATTGCCTCATCTCCTCCCCTTTGAAACTCGGCAACCCTGCAACCTCTCCACTGGGGCGCTTGGTAAGATGGATTTAAGCTCTGGGACCTCTATACTCCCTAAGCTGGTGGCTCATCCAGAGGTAGGGCTGATGACCTTTTCCTTTCGGCTGAGGACAAATCTAACATAGCGGTTAGGAGATGGAAACCGTCCGATACGCCATCGTCGCGCCTCGCCCGGACCCAGCCAACTTCCTAGCCATTGAGAGTGCATGCACTCACAGCACTGGTTACATCGTCAAGCTTGCCGCCGGTCTCACGGAGCAGTATCAACACTTCGGAGACCCCGAAAGTCTAGCCAAGCACAGACGGCTTCAACAAGAATCAGAGACCCGCTTCCAACTGCTCCAGCAACACTTGGGTTCTTGCAAACGTGCTGTTGAGGCAGCATGTGCACAGGCAGCATGTGCACAGCCGCAAGCATCCGAGGAGGGCCGTTCCGCTCTATTCCCTGCATCGGACTCTCGCCTCGCTGGACGGGCGCCAGAGACTCCCGGAGTAGAAAACAGCACAGTAGCCTTGTCGGGTTCGACTATCCTTGCGCGAGACGCGGTTATCTCCCGAGAGAGCAGCTATGTTCAAGGCCAAGCATCATCTACGCCGGAGATTGTTCAGCTCCCACAGCAAAGCGCTGTCCCAAGCATAGCCGAATCTGCACAAGAGCAGCAAGAGCAGCATGGCCACGACCTAGAAGGGTCCGGAAGCCGTGGGATCCGGTACTATGTCGACAACGAGGGCGGCTTTCATTTCAGCCTCTATGACCCAGGCACGCCCGACTGCGCCACGCCCGCCCTCCTCATCGGAGAATTGGCGCAAGGCAGCTGGCATGTTCTCGACTGGGATCGGACGGCGCCCGGGCGAAAAATGCATGTCATCCTGGCCACTCGGCGGAATGTGGACCGCCTTCGTCTGGCCTATACCAATTTGTGGACGCGCGAGAACCAGCTCGTCAGCAACCTCGCAAGCTCGAAGCATTTGCCGCTGGGGGAGCGCTACCGAGAATTTTGGGAAGATGATCAGCTCACCGGATGCACGTCGAGCCAGGAGCCGAGCGACGAGCGACTAGACCTGGGAGTTATCATTCCTGGCACCGTCGACGTGTTCTCCAGCCGTGGCAGGATCCTCTTCCGTCAACAGACCCGAGAGGATCAAGAGGGAACTCGCAGCTCCATCCATAACGCAAAGATCGAGGTAGGCGACTACCGAACCAACGATATCGTCCTCCAGATCAACGAGGACAGCCTGCGCACCCTCTACAGATTAATTGTGGCCATGACCAAAGTACTCGATGGTAACGAGCAAGAGCAGACACGGGAATTCAGCAGACACCGCCGCGGGAGGCAGAATTCCAGCTGCGGAAGCAGGCGCCGCTTCGGCGATAACCACCGTCGTCACCATCTCCGTCGCCTTCGGGGTCGCTATCGTGACTGGGATACCTATCGTCGCCGATGCAGCCGCTCCTGTTGGGATACCTACCAGCCTCCTTATAGCCTACAGCTACAGCCTTGGGACACGTACCGTCCTCAGTACGAGTAGCTGAGGCAGGAAGCGTGTCTGGGGACGGGGGTGGGGGCGAAGCCACGAAGTAGATGAGACCACGAGACCACACGAGGCAAAGAGGGGAGGAACCGTGTGTGTATGAGCAGGTAGGTAGATACGGTAGGGTACCCTTGCACAAGTACAATGCGTGCTTTGACCGAGAAACACAACGGGAATGGAGTTCGGATGACACCCACCGCGCTTAGCAAGATGGCACACCCCGCATTTCCGATCTGTAACCTGGACTCAGCCGAGTTGTCGTGTCGTGGAGGGAGAGGTGCAAACCGGGATATCGGGACGCTCCCTCCGCTAAGAGACCTTTTACTAGGTACAACGTCATCGGCCAGCCCACGTGACGCGTCAAGTTCCGGCCATAAATCTAGCTGCGACAACGCATCCTTGTGTAACCCCCCCCCCTCTCAGCCCCGCGCTTAGTGCCGCGGGAGTGTATATTCTACGGTGTAAATTTTTTTTTAAAGAAAAACTCTCATTTCTCATTTTTCTTTTTTAGAGCTTTTTTTTTAAAAAAGAAAAAGAAAAAGAGGCCATGTACCTAGGTACTACTACCGCGCCAGCAAGCCGGTGGGCGCTCGCGCGACGTTCCCGGCTCGAGACGGACCCGCCCTCTATTCTGTCTACAGCAATGCGTTCACGTTTCCGGACTGAAAGCCCTGAACACGTCCTGACAACTGAAAAAAAAAACAAGAGAGAGAGAGACGTCGAATATATGCGGTGCAGCGTATCGCATTCTCCTGGTACAGTACACGTGTGCAGGGCTACCTCCCCGTCTTCAGTCTATCACGACTCCGTGCTAGCTATGCTATTGTTCCCCCCCCCCCCCCCCCCCCTCTATTCCTCCTCACCTAAATCCTTCTGTATTCCACCCTCTTCTATCTATTAGGAGTAAACCGGGCAAGCAAATAGGCGGCAGGCGGCAGACGGCGTGTGGTCTCGGCGGCGAGTCTTTAGGACTGCGAGCTCGGATGCATCCGATTACAAGGTCTCCATCTTGTCCAGGATCGCGCGGGTGAACGAGTGTGTGCTGGCCTCGCCACCCATGTCGCGCGTGCGGTACTTTCTGTCGCGCCGTTAGCTCGGATCGCCCCGTTTGAAAATAGCCCAGAGAGACGAAAGGCTCACCCTTCGGCAATTACGCCGTAGACGGCCTTGGAGATGCGGTTGGCGTGGTCGTCCAGGCCGAGGTGGCGGAGCAGCATCGACCCGGACAGCAGGAGAGCGGTAGGGTTGGCCTGATCCTTCCCCTTGATGTCGAGGCCGACGTGCCGGCAGCCGGGCTCGAAGACGGCAACCTCGCGGCCCATGTTGCAGCCGGGCACGATGCCGGGGCCGCCGACCAGGGCGGCGCCGATGTTGGACAGGATGCCGCCGTAGAGGTTGGGCATGACCATGACGTCGAATTGCTGGGGCCGCGACACGCACTGCATGCTGGCGTTGTCCACGATCATGTCGTTGGTCTCCAGCGTCGGATACTCGGCGGCCGTCTTGTGGAAGGTGCTACGGAACAGGCCGTCGGCCAGCTTCATGATGTTGGCCTTGTGGATGCACGTTACCTTCTTCCGGTTGTTAGCCAGCGCGAACGAGAAAGCGAACTTGGCGATGCGCTCCGACTTGGCGCGGGTGATGATCTTGAGCGACTCGACGACGCCCGGCACGCTCTGGTGCTCGAGACCGCTGTACTCGCCCTCGGTGTTTTCTCGGATGATGCAGAGATCAACGTCCTTGTGGCGCGTGTTGTAGCCGGGGATGTTCTTGATGAGGGAGATGGAGGCGTAGATGTCGAGCTCTTGGCGCATGGCCACGTTGAAGCTCTGGTGCCCCGACCTGCTGATGGGGGTGTGTAGGATACCCTTCAGCCCCAGCTTGTTCCTCTTCAGGGAGGCGACCGATTCGCGGAACATCTCCTCGAGGCTGCCGGGGGCGCCGCTCTCGACGCCAGAAACGTCCACCTGCTCCCAAGTGATGGGCACGCTGTCGGCCTTGAAGATAGTCTTGACGCTCTCGGCCACCTCGGCGCCGATGCCGTCGCCGGGGATGAGGGTGACGGTGTACTTGCCGCCATACTTGGTCGGCTGGAAGATATCGGACTGGACGGTCGCGAAAGATCGGGAGGCGTTCTGGAAGTGGGATTGTTGGCGAGTAGCCGTCCGCGCCAGGCGCTGCAAACCACAATACAACGAAGATGGTTAGCCAACCAAAAACCCCCCCGACTTCTCGGAGGACATATGAAGAAAAAGATAAGAAACCAGCCACAATGCCTCCTCCCCCCGGTCATAGCCGACGAATTGCCGACATGGTGGGAAGACGTACCTGGGCAGATCTAGCAGCGTTTCGCGACAGCATGGTTAGAAAAAGCAGGCATGTGCTGCGTGAAGAGGGAGAGAAGGGGGGAGAGGAACGGGGGATTTACAGGAGTGAGAAGGGCGACGGGTGATAAGAGAGGCTTGAGGGAGGAAATTGGCAGCGATTGATGCAGAGGACTGCAAATGGCGCAGAGACGAAAAAAGCTTTGGAGGGTTGGAGGGTCCTCGGTTTGGCAGCCGTGGCATTCCGATCACCCGGTTCATCGTGTAGGTACGTACTTAGGGTAAGTACCTCTACCTATATGAGAGTGGGAGGAAGGAAAAGACCACCTGGAATCTACGCTTTCCGAAGCCAAGCACTGCGCTAGACCTCTATATGGCTTAGCGTAATCTCGGGTTTCTACACGTAATCCCGGTTGGGGAAGGTGTGGCGGGTGCAGGTACACCTACCTACGTCGATAGGTACCTAGATCTTTCGGCATCGCCAATACATTGGGCATGTACCCGCTTCTGCATATCCAAGTATCGACTTTGAGTGGGTAGCAGGCAAAGGAGGTTGTAAGGAGGTATGTGAAGTTCCATCTTATCTTATCTTCTGAAGACCCTAGGATTAGGTAGGTAGGTATACACGTTTTAGGTACAACGTCTGATGGATGTCACGTGAAATATTCCACGTGATGGGCGGTATCCCGCAACATTCTGCTGACGTACATACTCATACAGGCGAAGTACTATGCCGTACGGAGGTCAGGGCCAGACCCATGTATTGGGAGAAGTGCGATATCTAACCTGCTTAGGTACCTAAATAGACAGGCACCGGGATCCTCGAGGTTACCTACGTTGATTGAGGGGCAGTTTACAGGCATTTGGGAGTTACCCTTGCCGAAGCCCTTCAGACACTTTATATGGGTACCTGAGGCACCTACGTGCTTGAGGGGTCTGAGATGCCCGTGTTACCGTAGGCAAGAGGTAGGTACCTAGGTACTTCTACAACGATGAGCGGTTCCCATAAAGGCTCTGCCTACACGCCCATGATCTTCGTGAGTACGCCTTTCCTCCCTATCGCCGTCACCTCCCCCCCCCCTCTTCTTTGGGATGCCCAGGTATTCGCGTGGCGTATTGCTTACCTGTATCTATGCTCTTCTTGCGGGACGCTGTCACATCCACTTCTCGGTTGCTCGTTGGCGTCTCGAGGGCTTCCTGCTTGCTTCCGCTCAGCACGGCTCTTCCTGCGCGCATACGCCTCTCCGCTGAGCCTCACCTGTGGACGGTAGAGAGGCCGTAGGAGGGAGGCCAGAGACTGGAAGCGAAGCAATCCTCCTGTCCCAATTCGAGGTCCTTGGGCCGCTCCCAGTCGCAGATGCGGCGAGCGCACCGCCGGAACCCTGGATCTCGATGTTCTCACCCCCGATTCATGCCACCGTATCCGTCGGTTTAGGTATACGAGATGCGGCATATTGGCCGCGGGGGCACACGCTAGATTATCAGAGGCTTGCAGCGTTGTCCGATCCATCTTATGCCACGAGGTTGTGGCGCGCCGAGGACAACCTCAAGTCATCTTCCCAGCCCTGCCTACCCGGATAGTACTGCTTGGTAGGTATGCCGTTGGGTTATCCCATGCTCGCTTAAGTGTGAGTGTGACGGAGGAAAGCAAAACTTGCACGCTTTAGGATCCTTTCTTCCACCAACGGACACACAAGATCCTAGATCGACAGCTCGTAAGCATGGCCCCCCCTTCCCCAAAAGTCGACAGATCGTCGGGAATAACCCCAGCGGCGGGAGCAATGCAGAAACGAAAAGGAGAAATGGGAGTCGAAGACGAGGAAATCCCACCGAGGAATCAAATAAAAAGAAACATTCCACATGCGTACCCAGAACATCCAAAGGGGGGGGAAGCGAGAGAGGACGATGGAATAATATCCTGCCAACCTACCTACAGGAAGTATCCAACTCGGTTCGATCCGGATCGATAGTCGCAAATCTTGGCTCATCTTGTCCATCCACCCCATTTTCATTCCCGTCCTCTTCAGCCGTAACAACCCCCGCCACGGCCCCACTCTTCATTGCCGTGTTGACATCCCGTCGTCCAGTTGTCCAGGCCATCCCTCCGCCCAACGCGCGACGTGAAGCAATAACGACAGGCGGACTGGGAGACAGACAGGCAGAGGGTGTGTGTGTCTCTGTGTACGCGCCCGTCACATCGCCCGTGGGAGCTATCGCCGTCTCATCCAACCCAATCCGATCCTCGTCAACCCCCCCCTCCTCCTCCTCCTCTCTCCCCACCGGTGTTTTTTATCCCTTTCCTGCGTATGGCTAGCTGGCTAGCCCACCTTTTCATCCTACTGTCGCCCGTTACATAGGTAAGTAATGGGCTGTTCCCTGCGCCCTTGTACACTTCTACCTATGGGTGTGTGGCCCTGGCCATCCGGTTCCGCTTCCCTGGGCGGTGCCGGGCCTTTCAAATCCGGCAGCAATCTCCGTTGAGGACCTCCTTAACGCTCTGCGCCTTCGAGATAGCCCTTGATGATACCCGGAAACTCTCGTTAACATGGTACGATACACATCCCGACACTTGTGCCGTTGAATGCTAGTGTAGTCTTACGCCCTATCGTTATACCTCTGCCTTGGACCTCCTCCTCCATGTCATCCGACCAGGCTGGAGTGCTATCCCGTGATCGAGTATATATAGACAGGCGTCCGGCCCCTACTTTGGCTGCTCAGAGCCCAGCTGCCCCACTGACTGTCGTCCTACCCGAGGCCTGACCCGCGGCAACTTCAAATCAGCCAAAATGTCCAGCCCGTCCAACTACGATATCGGTTAGGGCCCTGACGCTTGCTATAGTGTATCGCCGTCGCTGATTTGGGTATAGTGATCATTGGAGCTGGCCCTGTCGGACTTATGCTGTCGACATGCCTGGCAAGATGGGGCTATAAGATTAAGCATATCGACAACCGGGCAGAACCGACGCCCACGGGGCGTGCCGACGGCATTCAGCCTCGGTCTCTGGACCTGCTCCGCAACATGGGCCTGAAGTCGGCCATCATGGCGCACAAGCCCGCGAGAGTCTACGAGGTCGCCTTCTGGGACCCTGCCAAGGACGGCAACGGTCTCGTCAGGACCGGCACTTGGGCCAGCTGCCCGAGCTTCATCGATGCGAGATATCCATTCACCACACTCGTCCATCAGGGGAAAATAGAGCGGGTGTTTATCTCAGACCTGGAAAAGAACGGCCTGCAGATCCAGCGGCCGTGGACAATAAAGGGATTTAAGGCAGACGAGGGGCTGGACCCCAATTATCCCGTCGAGGTTCATCTCGAGCATGTCGACGGTGGCCAACGCGAATCAGTTAGAGCCAAGTATCTCTTTAGCGGCGAAGGTGCCAAATCTTTTGTCAGAGAGCAGCTGGGCATCACGATCACGCATAAAGATCCCATCTCGCACGTATGGGGCGTTATCGACGGCGTCGTGCGGACTGACTTCCCAGACATCAAGGTCAGTCTCCGCGCATACACAGCTTCGGCTACCGTGGACTTCGGACTCACAGGAGACAGATGAAATGTACGATCCACTCCAGGCACGGCTCGATCATGGTGATCCCGCGAGAGGATAACATGGTCCGGCTATACATTCAGATCGCATCGTCCACCGACCCGGATTTCAGTCCGCGCAAGACAGCCACTGCAGAAGAAGTTCAAGCGTCCGCCAAGAAGATCCTCTCTCCGTACTCAATCGAGTGGGAGGGCGTGGAATGGTACTCGGTATACCCAATCGGCCAGGGCATCTCATCTAAATACACCCTCGACCACCGGGTATTCCTGGGTGGCGATGCGTGCCATACCCATAGCGTAAGCCATCGGCTCCCGCTCCCCCGGAGGACGAATGGCGACTAACCCCTGAGCTAGCCGAAAGCTGGTCAAGGTATGAACGCAGCATTTTTGGACGCCTTGAACCTCGCGTGGAAGATACACGCGGTCGAGGCCGGCCTCGCCGACCGAGCCCTGCTGACGACGTACGAGACCGAACGCAAGGATGTTGCTGAGAGCCTGTTATCTTTCGACAACAAGTATGCGAAGCTATTCTCGGAACGTCCGCCGGCCGCCACCGAAGTCCAAGCGGCGTCGGAGCAGGCGAGCTCCGCGAGCGAGGACAACGAGTTCGTCAAGACTTTTAAGGAGTCGTGCGAGTTTACCAGCGGCTACGGCGTGGCATACAAACCCAACGCATTAAATTGGTCGCCGGTGCACCCGGCACGATCCCGGCTCATCCACCCCGAGGGAACCAAGCTGCGGACCGGACGACTCATGGCCAACGCCGACGTCACGCGGGTGATAGACGCCAACGTCGTGCACCTGGAGCAGGGGGTCCCCCTCAACGGCTCGTTCCGGATCTATGTTTTCGCCGGAAACCCGTCAACGACAGCCAAGGCACTCAAGGATTTCGCGCTACACCTGACCAACAAGAGGTCCTTCTTCAGCTCCTACCTCCGACCTGACATAGACTCAGTTTCCCATCACGAGACGCACAACCCCCACAGCCTTTTCTTTACTATCTGCACCGTGATTGCGGCCAGGCGGGACCAGATCGAGATCGTTCGCGACGTGCCGAGTCTTCTGGCACGGTACCGCGACCACATCTACGCCGACGACAGGTGGGATCGTCGCGTGCCCGACGCGGCGGCGGCAGCGCACGCTAAGATGGGGCTCGACCAAGAGAAGGGCGGCGTGGTGGTGGTCCGGCCCGACGGGTACGTGGGCGTGGTGGTGGGACTGGCCGACGGTAGCGGGACGGTGGATGCGCTGAATGAGTATTTCGGCTCTTTCTGCTCCAAGAAATTGGGCGAGACGCTGGCCCAGTTATGAGGATCCTGCATACGCAGCCGGAATGCGAAGGCGTCCATAAGGTGCTTGGTGCTTGGCCCGCTCGACCGAGCCCTGCGGTGAAACCTGGATATCGGCTTGAGCCGGTCGGTGGGTTGGTGTGTGGTTTTCCTGGTACTGTTTCTCGCGAGCGCGCCATGGTTGTCTTCTTGTCGATAGATATGCGCTGCAAATACCCTTCACATAGCATACCCTACACATAGCCTTGAGACGGAGATGGGAGCATGCCTACCTTGCGGCTGGGCATCCATTCGTCTTGCATCTCTCGGGACATAGGTAGATGAGGATGGGGCGTGGACGAGGGGGGAGTGAGACACGTATAGACTGGTTGACGCCCACGGGACGAGATGCGATTATAGCTTAGAGCACTGTCTCCTTCGGTACCTACTTCGCTCAGTCTGAACTCGAGAAATACCTGCCTGCCTTTAATCAACGAGCTTCTAATAGTATATCATAAGTACCTCCTAACCCACCTAGGCGCCCCAGATACCTCCTCCTTGAATCAGGCGCTCGCAGTGGGTATATACCCCAGGTACCTATCTAGGTAGGCTAGGTACCTAACCTAAGCTACCGCCTATTCACCAACGAGGCCAGGCAAGGGATTATATAAGCTCCCATCGTCGCGTCCACCTCTACCGACCTGACGCGAACCTCTTTGGTATTTCCACCTCTCTGATCTCTCGAAAGAAGAGTCTGAAGTTTCACTGTAGGTAATATCTCGCTTGCGAAGATCTCAACATTGCCGGCGGTGTGCTCTATCGACTTATCGAGTTCGACCACGAATATAACGACGACCCGGGGGCAACCTTTCGACGGTGGAAACGGGACCACCTCCACAGCTACGTCGGCCTAACTTGGCTCCCCAGTCTAACTAGAGAATCGAGGCTAACATAACCGTATAGGCTGGCCCTGCGTCTCCTCTTGCCCAGCACGTGGGCTTTAGCAACTCTTCCTCTGCTGTTCCCGCCAAAAAGATCTCACGGTGGCTATCGAAGCACCCGATCAGATATTCCTTCGCGTTATCGGACCCCTCCCCAGTCGTTCGACGGTGGCCCAATATTAACCCCTAGCCGCATGCTAGAGTACTGGGATCCGGTGCTACGCCGGACTCGCCCGCGGAGCGGTCCTCTCCCGGATAGGCTCTGCGAGAGCCAGCGGAACCCCGGATACCTTGCTCAGAATAGATTAGCAGATAAGCGAAGGGGTTTTGTTGTGGCCTCGGACCACGGAAGCAAGGAGCCGCCATTAGGTACGACAGACCAGTTCCGAGCCGTTTTTAGCCGCCCCAAACGACATCGGTGCTCATAGATGAAATGCTACCTGGCCATTATGCGGCCCCTTTACGCCCTAACTGAGCTTCGACGGAAGACTAGGCTATTGATGGGTCCCTCGCAATGCGAGTGTTGCTTTTACAGGATCTAATGCTGACGCCCCAACCCAAACTCGCCGGCGTGTGCTAAGCAAGAGACAAGGAATATCTTCAACTTAGACATGACATATTCATACCATATTGATACCATACGTCTATCTACAGGTTACATTACCTCAACTCCGCTGGGCTGTAATGGTTCTTCGAATATTCTGGCAAACCATGGCTTTATAACGCAAACTATACCTGCCCACCAATCGAGATACCGAATGTAGCTTGGCGAGCCAGTCCTTCAGGAGGGTCAAATCCATTGTTTCGACATCTTCGGAAACGCCCCCAAGGCGGAGAGGCGAGCGGCGCCGTAGATATTCATTACTTCTATGAATGTCTGGTTTGCCGTTCTGAGGGAGCACTCGAACTACGTACTCTGATTTCAAACCGCCATGTTACCGCGATTAGGCTTCCTTAAGCCGCATGGCCAGATGCTCAGTAATGGCATAGAGTCAGATAACATGATATACTGATGAGAGCCCCACCCCCTTCAGTCAAGGCATCCCCCATTAGATGAGGGAAGAATGAAGGATGTTCTGGACTAGTTTTTGATGCCTGCGGGGCAAAGTAACAAGCATTTTTGTTGCCTAGGTTATGGCCAGTGCAAAGCTCGGTGGCTGTCGTCTTTATGATGTGTTTCAGGAAGTAATAACTAAAAGGCCCCAGAGACTCTGGATACCAATGAAAAGTCAAACTAGTATCAATGAGTTGACGATAGAAACTCGACGAGCAATACCCTAGGAACTCGATTGAGAGAGAGAGGTACAGATAGAAATAAATACTGGGACGCAATTCTGTTTGCAGTCTTGAGAAAAAACTCATATCATGGCATCCTCTCAGCCAACCTCTCCTCCATACCATCTCAATTTGACACTCAACTCAACCTTCATCCTGCTTACTGGTACGGCAATCTCAGACTCCACGGCAGGAATACTAGGTCTCCAGGTAAAGCTGCTCTTCTGACACGTCTCTCGCCGAATCCGGGACTTGATAGGGAGACCCCGAATACGCATACAAGGATTCAGACAACTGGTCGCTCCATGGTAAGCATCTGGTCCCATGCCCCGTCCTCTTCTCCATCACCCGCATCTCCTGAGCCTGACGGTCTGTTCAATTGGGCATCTTGATCAACAGTGGTTGATTGTAAAGTCAGCAGAAGAGCCTCTAGTCGACCTTGAAATCCACATGGTAGCAACCGAGATCCCACACGTCTCCGTCTACTTCCAGTGGATTCCTTGACCAACCCTTCGTTGGGCCCTCCACCACTGGGAGACCCTCGACACTGCCTGAGAGAGAGAGAGAGAGACTGTCTCCTCTTAGCCGTGAAACCACTGGCATATTCGCTATTCACCTATAAGTTAGCTCTCGCACGGATCTCACAGTTAATCCGCAACGCAAGGCAACTATCGAGGTAACTTTGGTGAGCTGAGAACAACTATTTAGGGGCGTTTCTCATACTTTGCCGCCAAAAACGGCTACATGAGAAGCGTCAATCTCACTAACCAAATAGATAGGCGAGTGGAAACAACATTGGGCCCAAGCCCAGCACCCACGATGAACGACAACAGGAACCTAACAACTGCCCAGAGGGGCCTGAACTCTCCAGATCCGACGACTGAGGATCCCACAGAGAATATTATGGCCGGTTCCCGGGCGTCCATGGGTGTTCCGACGCCTGTCGGAGGCGAGCACTCACCTGCTCGCCCCCAGCCGCATCCACAGCCCTATTTGCAGCCGGTCTTACGACCATACCGAGAGTCTCGCTTTCAGGAGGAGGTCCCCGAAGACGCCCCCCAGCAGGGTAGCCACCGTAGAAGCCTTAACACTGCCCCGTCACAAGCTGATCATCGACGTGGCTCCCCGTTTCATCCGGGAAGACTTCCTATGCCCAAGCGAAGGTACGCGTTCCGCTGGAATGATCGGGAGCAGTGCCTATCCCTAATCACAGAGAATGGTGTGCTGAACCACAATAGTCGTGATACGATGATGGTAGATATCGTCGAGGACACTATCCAGACAGCCCTTGAAGTTTCGGCGTCTACTTCTTATCAGCTGTCACCGCTAAAACCAGCCGTCCCGGCCGCGAACGGGGGAGAGAGGTACCGGCCACCACCGCTCAATCTTGAAGACGCCCACGGCTATGCTTCAGTTGGTGGATATACAGACGTCCAACCTATTCACTATCCTATATCTTCTCAGCGGGTGAGCACGGTACGGCCTCTCGAGGGCCCTTCGTCTTCAATCTACCCAGACAGTGCCCGCTACCAGGCCCAGTCTTATAGCCCTCTTAGCGTCGCTAGTCCTCACGCAGACGTCGAAGGATCCGAAACAGAACAGGGCGATATCATTATCTGCTACGAGGGCTGGCGTGAGAAGAAGGCGGGTGGCGAGGAACCAACGCGCCCTGCCGAAGGCCATCCTCACTCGGAGAACAATCACTTCCCTCGTCCAAATGAAACCGCCCCGGCCGGAGAGCTTTCTCTCTCACATCTTCGCCCTACCCTACCGAAATCCACAACTCAGGGCGATATCCCCACGGAAAGTGACGCACTGCCGTTGACGCCGCTCACACCGCTCGTCATGAATGGCAAGACCAGGATTGCTCGGAAGACCTTGATCGGAGATGGCGGTTGGCTCGAGGACACCACAGTGCAGCCGCCGCCGCCTCCGCCTCCGCCGCCTCCGCCTCCGCAGCAGCAGCATAAGGGTGTGAGCTTCTTCAGCAACTTCAAAAAGAAAGCTCGAAAACTGGTAAGCATCCATCGTTCTGCTCTCGTTTCTCTTGTTCTTAGTGGCTGTGATAGCTAATTCCTTCTATCTCAGGCGGAGAGGGCCGAGTTCAAGGCCACGCAGCCCCGAACACCCACCGCACAAGAGCTGAGCATCTCGCTCGACCCGCGCGAACAGAGTCACCTCTACTGCGAGCTTGAGTATAACCTGAGCGACATGATCTGCGTGTACGTCAACACACAGCTGCAGACGGGACGTTTGAACCCCCATATACACGCCAAGATCTCAGACACATGGCTGCAGAAGGGCCGCCCGAATGTGATAGGGTTCCGATACGACCTCGAGACCCAGGTGGTGCTAATCTTAGAGCACGTCGGGCTTTTTAAGTTCATGGGCCCGCTGCGTGCGAACCATGAGCGCATCCGTGGCCTGCTATACAGCATCAAGGCGGACGCGGGCGAGATGCGCTTGCACACCCTCTGCCAGCCTGACCCTATCATCTCGAAGCACTTGGTCAATGCGCGCGCCCTGGCCCAGCTTCTGGGCTCTCCTGAACATCTGCAAAACGCACTCGCTACGGCCTGGGACTTCTTCCAGACGATCGTCGAGCGCGCGCGACAGGCTCGCCTCAAGGCGGAGGCGGAGGCGGAGGCGGGAGACACCCCGAATTCTCTCGCCGGGAGGGACGCAACCCCTTCTGCCGCTCCTCTCCCGTCACCCCCGCAGGAACGCCCTATAGACGTGCAAGACCACCGCATTGCCAATAGACTTGAAAAGAGCGGCATCGACGGCGAATACACTAGCTCTCCTGGCCGTATTTCTGTGGATTACTACGGCGACAAGCACAGGAACAAGGACAAGGACCGCGATGGCAACGGCCACGCCCACAATACCTTCTACAAGGACAAGCAGGGCGAAAATGCCAACGAGCCCGGCCATCACGCCGGCGGCAGCACACAGGGCGGGGGGGGCGGCAAGAAAAGCAGCATTCCGCCGGCGATCCCCGAGCCGCGGGAGACGTTCCCGGGCACGGAGAGGGTCCCTAACCAGATCCACGTGCCGCCCGCGCAGCGCAAGTTCAGCGGCCCGATCCTCGAGGCCAAGGTCTACGACCCGAACGCGCCCCAGCGGTCGCGGCCCGTCGAGCAGCCCCCGACCCGGCGGCCGCGTCCGCGGGAGAGCCAGCGCCAGTTGCGCCAGCTACACCAGCAGCACCAGCAGAACCGGGACCGCGCTCCCGATCCGCGCCCCCAGCCTCCCGAGTCGCTGCTGCCACATGGCCCGCTGGCGCCGGCGGACCCGCAGCGCGAACCGCACTACCTCCGGGATCCGCAGCTGCAGCACAGACGCCACTGAGCTGTGCTGCTGTACTGCTACGTTAGATTGCGCGGGCTTTGCTCTCGTGGCTGGCGGGATGGTTAAGCTGGCTACGGGGCCGTCAAACGCTGCCGACGGATGCTTTGTCGACGGAGACATCGTAGCTCGACTCGACTGCGCCGGAAACCCCCCTTCTTCTCCGGGAGCTGTGCGTTGGGGACGCGGCGCCGCATTTCTCTTCTTTCTGTTCCATGCTCTCGACGGTTCCCTAAGTTCGGTCTTGCTCTTTTACCGACCGCTCCCCATTTCTCTCCTTACTCTCTTTTCGTCTCCTTTTTCTTTTCAGTTCTTTCTCTTGTACTTGGCACGACACCACGAGACTACACCGGCCAACAGAGGCGGCGGTGGAGGCGAGGAGAAGGAGGCGTAGCGGATATACCTACGTGTAGCCGGTATGCTACGAGTACGCCGTGTCTTCTTCGTCTCTCCTATCATCATCTTCGTGGCCATTATCGTTCTCTCTCTCCTTCTCGCCCACCACTGGCTCGTCGCCGGCACAGAGTATCGGCTCGTCACGAGACACCTGCTTGACTGACCTATGCGGGATAGCAATGCTATGCCTTCGTTCCCTCCACCGGTAAGGAGGATAAACCGATCGGGATACGATGGCTACACATATGCACACGCATCCTTCTCAAAAACCTGCCTGCTCACTCGCCGGCTCATCCGCTCCGGCATCCATCCGCAGCTTTGCCATAGTGCCGCTCAGCTGTCTCTCTCAATTAGGAGGCATTAATCCGCGCTCTCGCGTACCCTCCCCTCATTACACACCTGTGGGGACTCACTCTGTGAACCCCTATTCCCCCTTCTATGCTTATGAGGACTCTGGGAAGCTGGCCAAAACGGCCCATCTTGCGTGTATGCACACGCGCGATTCATATCCACGCTGGCGTCAACACACACACGCTCGCACGCACACATTTTGCCTTCTCCGACTTGGCGGACGGGGGGCCCATACGACTCCGGCCCCGGCCTAACGGGACCTCACGCCGGACACCCGCACACCGTCGCCTCGTCATCGATCTGTAACACCCGCGAACCTCGTGTTCGGCGTCCCCTTTTCATCTTTCTCGGGCATCGTCTTTGTCTTCGTTCCGCTTTTGCTTCGCGGAACTCTCACGCAGAACGCGCTTCGCGTTCCTCTCCTTATGGGATGCAGGATGCGGGATCTGCGTGCCCCAGTGCATCTTTTTTTCTTCTTTTTCCCTTCCTTTCCTCTCTTTCTTCTTCTCTAATGTTTAATATTTATCTCCTCCTGACGTTCTAGATCTCTTCCGCTGTCGCCGCATCCCGCCAGCCACCCGGCACGCCAACACTTTGATGCCGTCGTCCCCATCGTCTGCACTGATGCGTAGAGGGCTTGATGGAGAGACGGCTGTGCGAGAGTGCCCGGAAGGCTCCTTGGCGGAGTGGACGGTGACCGGCTCGGTCGAATGATAGGAAAGAGAGGGGAGGATGTCATGAAGGGGGAAGGGGGGCGGTAGGAGAGAGCCGAGGCCGCGCCTCGTTGTTGTCTGCCTGCTGCTACGTGGTGTGGTGGTTCAACAGGGTGCACAAGGCTGGCTCTCCCTGCTTTGCCCGCCTGCCTATGTCTGCCTACGGCATCGTGTACTAATCTAATCCATTGCGTTGAATTATTACAGAATTTCGCCGAAACTCTTTACTCTGGGTTATGCCTCGTGTCGGCCGTGTATCCAAGTGAATTTTGCTTGCATTTTCCTGCGCCCTGTCCCCTCGATGTCTAGACGCCTGGCTTAGGCATCTCGGTGTCCTGTGTCTCGTTACTATTGCTCATCTCGCCGTCCCTTCTAGGCAGCTAAGGTGGCAGCTAAGGTAGGGTTGTAGCCATCGTAAGTAGGCAGCCTGCTTGCGGGGTCTGTCGTGCGGAGCAAGGAGCTGTCCTGGCCTTGAGTTGTTGGTGTGAAGGGGGGTTGCGGCGCGTCAAGCTGGCCGTTCTTTTATTTCTTTTCCGTTTTTTCCTTCGCTGCTGACGGCTTGAGAAGGGAGGGGATGAGAGAACGAGGAAAACGCTAAGGAGGGGGGAAGAGATGTGTCAGGGGCGATATTAATATCGATCTCGTCCGTTTTATACCCGGGCGTGAGCTCGACTTGCGCACCATGATGTAACGAGCTGCGCGGTTTTGCGACTCGGCGTGCTCCCAATGCCAGCCTTGCTATACAACAGAGGATTATACCTACCTATGTATGTAGCATGGAAGCTCCGATACTCAGAGTTCACTGGGTTGGGCGGTGACAAGGGATGCCTAGGGGATCGAGGGGGTGAGGTGTAAGGACGCGGAATCCTCTGAGACGAGGGGTCTAGACTCGACAATCCCAACATCCACCAATATGACGATCACCGGGGAGCCACAGCGGTCTCTGCCTTGCCTCGTGCAGATCCGAAGAAGCAACACGGAGGCTTGGTGATGAAGGCTCGGTTAGGTACCTATGTGTCGGGACGTCTGCGTGTAGGAAACCTGCTTGGGGAGGTGGCACACAGCTACGGCGTCCACCGCATGCCGCCTCGAGACCTGTGGTTGGGGCAACAGGCGGACGAGAAGGGGGCGATGACGACCTCGAGGCGGGAAAAAAGGGCGAATAGGGTTTGGCAACCAACACCTATCCCGATGCTCCCGCCGGACCACCCGTTTGACTCGGCGAGCCCAGTCCGCGAAGAGGCGTTCAGGGGCGGGGATTACGCGCCGAGGTGTATGCCGTGTCGAGCGGGAGCTGCCTGTGCGTGAGAGGTAGGTATGTACATAATAGGCGTAGTCACAGTACAACTCGAGGTATGGACGTATGAATACCTGCGTGTTTCTCTACGTGTAGTTAGGATAGCAGATCTCCTCTCTGCATAGGCGTGTATTGTGGTTAGGTGAGCGTGGAGAACTGTTCGCGCTTGGCTCAGCCACCATCACAATAGATCTACCCGCCATGCCGTTTCATATGCAGCATTGAGGTAATAATAGGTACCGGATGCTCCCCTACTGTTGATATGCTTGGATACATAGGTGTTAGTTGGTACTCGGGCTGGGTAAGCGTTTATGAGTATCGCCCTCCGAGTAGATGGAAGGGGAACAGAGTTGGATTCGCTCTCAGTTGCCACGCCACCCTACTCTCTCTCTCTCTCTCTCTCCACCCTTTGTTTAACTGTCAGGTGTATGCATGGGGCAGATCAGGTACCAATCGTCGTGTATGGTGAGCACATGCGCGTAATCAAATGCTCGAATATCACCTGCCAGTGGTCCCACCTCCGCCATCACCTGTCTAGCCTATCCAGCGTAGCGGACATGACTCTCTGCATACGCAAGTAGCTTAGCAGGTAGGCAGAACCCATGGATGTATGCCTGTATGTAGGTATGTCGGTAGCAGCCCGGCCGCAAGTCAGTCGGTAGCGCGGGCAGAGGAGCCCCTGGGACCTGAGAGAGGAGGGAGGAGAGGGAGGGCTGTGGGGGGCCAAGGGGTGGTTGGGAAGAGCCAAGATCCAGCCCACCATCCCATCATCGGCATCCCACGCCTCTGGTAAGATGTCAGCAGTGCCAGTGGTGCAAAGTAGTGCCAAGTAGCGCAGGTGCTAGCCAAAGAAGCAGCTCGTCTGGGCACACCATCGCCATCGTGTGTGTGGCACGCATGAGCTGCAGACACAGGACAGCGCCTCGGCATCCCGGCATCCCAGGGATCCAACTGCGTCTCTTCCTCTGTCCCGCATCCGCCTGGCCTGCCCGTCTACCTACTCGCTACTTACCACCGCCTGCCTGCCTACTTACACAGACGTGTGGCATATATCACATAGGCATGTCGCCTGCTGGCTGCGCCCTCTTTAGCCCGGGTGGGGCGGCGGAGAGAGAGAAGGGAGTAGAAGAAAGAGAGAAAACTCGGCCCGGGTCGTAGTATAATAACAGCCGGGGACCCTGCCAAGTCTCACCCTGTGTGTCTCGAGATCTCTCGTACGTGCACATGCGCACACGCTACCACTACTACTCGTTAACTTAAGAGGGCTCCCACGATATCGTCCCGTCACATCACATCAATTAATACCAGCGAGCCCTGTGTGAGGCCAGACACGCACGCCCTGCTACACAAACCTCTACTTCCAGCGCTCGCGCTTATCGTTCCGCCATCCTACGCTTGCGAAACCTAGGTACTTCTCAATCACAGACGTCATGTCGCGCTACGACGACGACTATTCTCGCCGACGGCCGAACCACAGTCGGGACCGATCCGACGACTTCGCCAACTCGGCCAGTGGCTACGACGAAACCCCGCGCGTCACCAGGCCTGAGCAGACCGCATATCCAAACGGTCTCCAGCTAGTGCCCTACGACCCGGACAAGCTCTACTTTCCGCCACCGCCGCAGCAGTCCAGCCTAGACGTCCCCGAATCACAATCGCGGTCGAGGCCGAGATCGCTACCGCCGCCGATCGACTACCGCAGCAGATCCGCCCGCGAAGGGACGAGAACAAAGAGCGGAAGGAGCACGAGGGGACGGCGCTACAGCGATGACTCGGGCGGCAGCGGCAGCGGCAGCCGGGCGCCCATCGATCGGGCACGCGACTTTGTCGACAACAACTTCAGCGGCTCGGCAGCAGGGCTCGGCATCAGCGTGCTGGGCGCGCTTGTCGGCGGGCTCGCGGCGCGCGAGGCCGTCGATGCCACGAGCCGGCGCAACGGCCACCACACGCCCGACCCGAACCGCGAGCGCAACCGGCTCATTGGCACGGTGGTCGGCGCAGCGGTCGGCGCGCTCGGCGCCAACGCCGTCGAGAAGCGGTTTGAGGTCAGTCGCGACAAGAATCGGGACCGGGACCGGGACTGGGAACAGGATAGGACCGCGGGGGAGGGGTCGTCGTCACGGCATCGGCGACGGCGGCGGCAGGATAGTGACCTGCCCGAGAGGCGCTCTGTCGTGGCACGCCCGCGGAGCAGTAGCGGGGGCGGCGGTTGGAGGAAGGATTGGGATCTATGGGACGATCGCGACCGAGGCTCGGGCAAGAGTCGCGGTCTCGAGAGGGAGGCCGATCCCGAGGCACGCAGCTGGAAGAACGTGGAGGAATGGCTGAACGACAGGCGGAACGACGTAGGAAGCCGGCCTCAGTCAAGCGAGCGGAGGAGCGTAGACGGAGAATATCGCTACTGAAGAGGAGGGGGCAGGCGGGGCGTTTCCGAGGCTGATATTGATTTCCCTTAATTCGGTGGCATCGCGTCGGGTCTTGACTCCCTCCAGCTTCTTTCCCACACCCTTTTCGTCCAGCTCTCCGCCACACTGGATGGTTTTTCCTAGACTCCTGCCGGGCGTTCTACCGGGATACGAGAAGTGAGAAACGAGAAATGAGAAGGGACGAGTTGGGATAAGGTAGGACGGCTTATATACCTAGGTATAGATGGGATCCGGGAGTAGAGGAGGGAGGGAGAGCTTAACCAACTATACCATCTATCACATAACCACGGGCCGCCCCCCGGCGGGCCACCTCTTAATACACTAAAAAACGCTAAAACTTATCCTTTTTTATCATACCGCATTCTCTTAATTTTAAAGCTACTTAGGAAATATTATAAATCTAATTTGTATAAAGCTTTACTATTAATTTAACGTTTTTTTAGATTAAATTAAATACGTATTATTAGAAATATTATTAATTAAAAACGGCAGTAAATAAAATTATGTAGCTATAAATTACTATCTGATTAATATGAATAAATATTAATTAAATCTCGATTAAATAAGCTTCATTTATTATAAAATTCGTTAATAAAAATCTTATAGTGTTTATTATTTGATTTATTACTTAAGAAAGCATTTCAACACACTATTTAATTATTATATATAATATTTTATAAATTATGCTAACGGTTCAGTTTTAAAGTAAGCTAACGCTATTAAAGCTTTAATTTTTATAACGCTTAACCAATAAATAGAAGAAATAACTTATTTTATAGCTTTTACCTTAAAAAATATTAAAGTTAGCTTTTAATTACTATATTATTTGTAGAATTACTTGAGATACTTTAAATACAAACGGCGATTTATGAGTTCTTCAGAAGAAATAGTTTCATAACTTTTCAAAGCGTAACCCTTTAATTACGTTAAAATTTAAGCGTAAAACTAAAGCTTCTTACTTCGATTACTTTAATTAAAGAATTATAAATTAATATCTCGATATCCGGAAGATAAATGCAGTTAAATAAAGCCTTTTTTATATTTAACATTAATAAAAGAATATTATACTTAATCAAAATAAAGAGCTTTATTTAATTTTATCTTTTTGTTGTTATATTAATCAAGATATTAAAGCTTAATAGTTTAACTTTCGAGAATTTAATAATTATAAAAGCGATCGTTAAAAGATTTTAACTTAGAATTTAGGCTTCGTTTATTAAATATATTAATACTATAGGCTATATTCTTTAATTAGGTATTATAGTAGTGCGGTGGATCTAGGCTACGTAGCCTTTTCGATGCCTATTTATATGGGTCGCGTACTTATATTTTCATTAGTTAGACTTAGACCTATAGCCATCACTTGTTATAGCTATTTACTCCTTTTGCCATGCCTTTTCTCGCGATCCTCGTTGCCCTTTTCTAGTCCCTTTCCCAGCTGCCGTTTCAGCTAGCCGATCAACCGATTATAGTTATATACAGCTGTGATCTTGGTTAATCGGCACTAGGCCAGTTGTTAGTAGTTAGGTAGTCCTTTTCGTGCCTCCATTATAGCGTACCTACGCTGCTCCTATTCAGTAGCGACCACCTAGTAGCTCGTCCTTACCTCAGCCTTAGGAGCGACCTTTTGCGACCGTTTTTATAGTTATTAGGTTTAGGATTCGTCGATTAGGAGATTCCTTGTTTTTTAATTAATTAGGAGCTATTTTCGTAGTTCCAGAGCCGTTTTTCGTGGCTTTTAGATTAAGCCTTTTTAGGTTAGGTACTAGAATTAATAGAAAGGGCAGACAACCATAGCGACTATTAATAACCACGCCCTCCCATTAGCTTTTAATTAGCTTACCTAAAAGCTCGTTCGCTAATTAATGGATCTATCTTATCCTCGTTTCTTAATTATCTCTTTTAAAGGAGCTATGCCTGTTTTCGTCTGGTTTTACCTCCGTCGTTTTTCAAGTACCTAGATAGCCGTTTTCTTAGTTAATCTAACTCCGTTACCGCTACTATCCCTTTTTACAACACGCGCTTAAAGGCATCCGTTTTTTACCAATCGATCTATTTTAATTATAAGAGGCTTACCGATAGCTCCGATCGCCCTTATTTTATCCCTGCCAGCTAGTTACGGCACCTAGGGAGGTTTCTCCTTAACCGATAGGTACCACGATACCCTTAATTACCACATGAAGATACCGACAGACCTTATACCCACGAACCTAATCAGGGAACCTACCGATTAGCGCGATAGACCTATAAACGATACCGATACGATACGAATTAAATAGATATTAAATAAGACAGCCTAGAAATAATTATAAAATAGTTAGGATTACCTAGAGACCCCTCTTGTCGCCCTTACCGATATATGGTTGGTAGGAAGAGCCTAGAGAGCCCCTAGAACCACGTACAGGGAAGGAATCGAGGGTCAAGGGAAGCCCGGTAGATACTACCGGACGAATATAGGAACGGTTACACGAATAACAGCCAGATACGAGTCAGAAACGGAAACAGTCGGGCATAAACAGGATATATTAGTTAGTTTATAGGATCAGGATCAGTTAAAGGGATCGGCAAAGCTAGTTATAGACGAAAAGGACGGGATTACATTACATCGTATGGGATTGTTTTTTCTCTATTTCTTACAGGAGCTACGTTTGTTTTACCTACCCGTTATAGTTTCTATTTTCCTAACGGATCCTTATTATTTCTTAATGGCCCTAATAAACCTAGCTCGCTCCTAGTTAATCAAGGTTAATCAGGAATAGGTTAATTAGTTTAGTTTATAGGTTATAGCTCCGCTAGCCTAGTTATTCTTGTTAATTAATCTTTCCTACCGTTTCCTATTAATCGTTAATTAAACTAACTTAGCTCCTAGTTAGCAGCAATTAAACAGGTTCGGGATTAATTAGGTTCAGGTTCAGGATCAGGCACGGTTACAGTCACCCACCCCACCACCCACTTATTACTATTGTAATCGTTCCTAGTTAGAGCCCTATTTCCTAACTTATCCTATTAGCCTTTAATTAAACTAGCTAGCTTTTAGTTAATTAGGATTAATCGGGATTAGGTTAATTAGGATTAACAGGAAACGAGAGCTACCCTACCTATTATATCAGGAGTTTAATTACTCCTTACGGATTAATTAAACTAGGGAGGCTGTAGTAGTACGGTGGATCTAGGCCACGTAGCCTTTTCGATGCCTATTTATATGGGTCGCGTACTTATATTTTCATTAGTTAGACTTAGACCTGTAGATATTACGACCTACAGCTATTCACTCGTTTCTTGCCATGCCTTTCTAGCCATCCTCGTTACCCTTTTCTAGTCCTCCTTTCCCAGCTGCCGTTTTCAGCTGGCCGATCAACCGATTACAGCTGTTTACAGCTGTGATCTTAGTTGATCGGCACTGGGCCAGTTGTTGGCAGTTGGGTAGCCCTTTTCGTGCCTCCGTCAGCGTGCCTACGCTGCTCCTGTTCCCTAGGTCTAAAGACGATTAACCGTAAGAATTAATAAAACTACTCGAATTAATCGAGCAAGAGATATAAAAGTAACTCGAAGCGGAAACCTAGAAGAAATTAAACGAAGAAGCGGATATACCTTACGGGCTCCCGAGTCCTAGACTTACTCTAGTCGTACCCGCGGAAGTAACGGGAAGTAGGAGTATAGAGTAACTAGAGTTAAGTACGGCTACTAATAGAAGTACTGAAAGTCCGGAACGGCGAGTATACTTCGCCGACGGATCGTAGCCTAATTCGACCTCGAAGTTAATTAGTATAATATTAAAAACGCGTTCCTTAACGTAGTAAGACCGGAAAGCGACCTTATACCTATAGAGTTACTAAACAGGTTTAAAAAAGAGGGAAAATACGCCTTCGCTATAAGAGTAGTATACGGGTTTAGAGATTCACCCTTACTCTAGTTTAAGGAAATCGAAAGTACCCTTAACTGTTTAAGATTTTAGAACTCTCTAAAGGAGCCGTACTTATTTTATATAGAAGGACGAGAAGTCTTTGTACTAATATACGTAAACGATATACTAGTTATAAACTATAAAAGCTTAGAGGCGATGGCATAAAAGGTAGCTTAGGGGTTAAAAGATATCTATAAAACGAAAGAACTAGGACCGGTAAAATAATATTTAGAGATTAAGGTAATACGTAATCGTAAAATACGAACTATAACTTTAATATACGACGCTTATATCGAAAAGATTATTAAATGCTTTAAACTAGCGGATAATAATTAGTTTCCGATAATATTATTACTAATTACCGAGCTAATAAAGTATATAAGCGTTACTTCGAAATAATAAGTTAAGGAATATTAGGAGAAAGTGAGGTTACTATTCTATAGTGTAATTATAATACGCCTAGACGTCGCTTTCGTAACGTCCTAACTATCTTACTTCCTAATTAATTTAAGACTTTAATACTTTAAAGCGATCAATTAAATGATTAAATACTTATATACTACTCGCTTTCTTAGCATTAGGTATAGGGATAAGAATAATAGCGCTTAGGTACTTTTAATTAATAGTAACGCTTCGTTTATAAACGATTCCGAGTTAAGAAAGTCGTCTTAGGGATACGTTATATTTCTATTTAAAGGTCCGATTATATAAAGAGCCGCTCGCTAGGATATAGTATTGATATCGACGACTAAAGCTAAACTACTCGCTCTAGAGCATATAGCTAAGGAAACGATAGCTCTAAAACGTTTCTTTAGGGATATTACCCTAGAGTTAGGAGAACCTTAAAGAGTATATAGCGATAACTAATAAATAATTAAGCTAATAATAAGAAAGAAAGAAAGGATTAATACTAGGCTACGTTATATAGATATATAGAATATATAGTTACGTTAAGAGTACTAAAAGGATACCTTTAAAGTAATTTACCTTCTTACAAATTAAATATTAGTAAACGGACTTACGAAAGCTTTACTACGTTAATCGTTTAAGTACTTTAAATCTTTATTTAACCTATAGAATACTCGCGGAGAAATAGTTACAATAACGCTTAAAGAATTGTAATAAGTATTACCGGTACGTAAATTCTCCACTTAAGAAGTTAATATATAGATATAAAGTATTATTATCATATAGAGATTGCTTTCCTTACCGTTAAATACCGAACTCGAATTACTCTTAGATCTTAATATATAAAGGTTACTTTAAGATTAAAACTTAGCTACGAAAGTCGTAAGTAAGGCTAAACTAACGAGATACGCGAGTATTAATAAGCTCGTTCTAATACGTTAGGATCTTATTATATAATAAGTCGGCGTATCGGTATAGAACTTTATATAGGTATTCCTCGAATAAGATATAGGAAAGGTCGCAAACGATCTTAGATTCTACTTCCTTAAAAGATTATTCTTCGTTATCGGAAGATTACTCTCCTACTCCTTCGCTTTTAACG